GTATAAAGGCTTAAGTGCGCCGGTCCAGCGGCGCAGCTTTCCCGGCGAGAGCCATGGAAATCGCGAATCTAATGCGACTTGGATGATAAATCGGTGAGACCAGAGCCGGTCTCTCTCTGCGCCTGGCCATCAAACCGGATGGCGTGCTGGCCAGAAATGTAGGTGAGATCAGTACCAAGTTCACTTGCAAAGTGACGCACTCGCAGAGTTTGCGATAGCACAGCCACAATACACTCGCTGACAAAATTCAACACACGTCCGCCAGTTTGTTTGGACTGAGCGCTCGCGGTGTGACGTCAAAGAAACCACACATTGGAGGTGTTTTTTTCTCGGAATCAAGAGTAATAACGTAAAATCACCTTCTCAAATTTCCAGCTTATCTCTCGCTTCTCGCGAGCATGATTTGAATGCAAGAAAAGTGGCGAAATCCTAATGATGATTTGGTCTTAAGACATGAGATAAGGCAATCCACTTAGCAACGGGACAGACAATGTACGAAAGCCACCCAGTGCATCAATAATCGTGCCACTGTGTGTATTCAGTGGAGAAATGGTGTGAATTCTGAGTGTCGCCGCCGACCAACTGTTGATTCAGTCGCGATCTGAAGGCAAAAATGTCGATTGCAGAGAGAGAGAGAGAAAAAGATCCAGTAAAAAGTGCGAATATCGCGAATAGTGCGTAGGAGGTGTTTTCTCAAACAAGATCACAAATGCAGAGAAACTGCTAAGACAGTCATTGGTCGCCGGATTGGATCACCCAAACGTCTTCTTGCACTCGCGAAGAAGGTGCAGAAAAGTGGGACTCATTTCCACGGAAAAAACTCTGGGTGTATTTTTATCAGGAGAGCCACTCTGCGCGATTACATCACTGTCGAATTCATGTACTCTTTGTCTCACTCATCAATCAATTCCCCCTTCGCGGCTCTGGCCGCCTTATCGTATTTACTCGCTCAACACTGATAACGTGTTTTTTTCCGTGGGGCCTCTCTTGACGCCAAATGGCTGGAAAAAGTTGCGCCCGTGACTCGCGCGGGACACTCAAATGGGATGAATGGTTTTGTGATGTTCTCAACGGCAAAAAAGACCTTCACATAGTAGTCATTACAGAGTGGTGATTGATGAAAATCAATCTTTGACATCAACTTGAACTGCGACTGTGTTATTAGCCACTAAAACATTGTACTTAAGTCTGCCTTTACCTCGCAATTTGACTCCCAAAGTCACACTTCTGTTACTCCAATTATCCCGACTGTGAGTGCGAGAAATTCCAAAAATTGCACGCACGGCACTCTCTTTCCCAAAATGACCCTCCACGTAATCACTCCGAGTGATCTTCAGGCCGCAAGAGGTCTTTCCCAACTCTCTGGGCTGGTTGTATGAAATTCTGCACTCGCGATCCACCGACTTCTTCAGCCGCGCCAACACTGCTCACTTTCGCCAACTCGCAACGAGCGTGTACTGCTTTTTGCCAAAAGCTCCACTGAGCCTAATCTTATCACACTGCTTTTCGTGCTGAATTCACCTGGCAGCCGCACTCTTTGACTCACGAGTGCCTCATACGTATTTCCTCTCAAATTTCCACCTAATGTGCGATGAGTTACTCCACGGAATGTGGAGTGATCTCTGCTATATGCGCGATTCACAGTGTCACTCACCAGGAGAATGCTGGGCATTTCACTCACCAAGTCGACACGTACAATCGCAGCGAATAGCGCACGCCTTATCACTATTTCAACATAAAAATGTTACACAGTTGCTCTCCACCAACACACTATTGTGCTGATAACAATTTATGAGGTGCGTCGATGTAATACAGAAACTACCCATCTGATAATGAGTTGCGGCAAAAGGTTGGAATATTGCGAATTCAGAGGATATTCACATGTAATGGAGAGGATCACATGCCCAGAGTTGAGGCGAAGGAACCCCAAGTGTGTATAATTGTCTGAAAGCAGTCGCGCAAAGACGCAAGAATTCCATATCATTTATCAAATATTGATTTTTCCAGCGAATGAGAAGATATATATTTTATGCTTTTTTAATACAAACATTTGCACAGCAATCTGAAATTAAATACCGGCTATTTATGGCGACTAATTTCACATGATAACAACCGCACAATTTTTCTTTCCTACAAAGAAGAACATCTTCACACGGTGCATTTTATCCTGGGTGCCGAATGTCTTAATTAGAAAAAGCGTGATGTTCATTATTATTATTTGTGTAATGAGTGTGTTTAATTGTGAGGAAATACCATAAAAATTCTAAAAACCTGTGCGCCTTTATAGACTTGCTCTTTAATAGTGCTGGACAATAAATTCCCTACCTTAAATAGTATTATGATGAAAAATTAATTTTCTGTTGGCATTGCGCGACCAGAGAGACATTTCTCAACGGAAGCTCAGAGATGGAATAAATAATCCAAAATCACCGTCAACACGGCGGAATGTTATGAAAAATGATCTCGGGAAGAGTCACAGGAATAATTATTTTAAATTCCTTACAAGTGGAACCAATCCAAATTAGTGTTGTGGACGATATTATGCAAATGCCTAACATGAGAAGAGTCCCATCGAGAAAATATAATACTAATCATGCTTTCATGTTTTCACTTCCAGCACAACCTGTCCCGCTGAAAGTCTCCCAATAACTCTTCAATCTTTATTCCCATGCTTGGTGTCTCAATCGACAGGAAGACTGATGATATGGGCTTTTGTTGTTCCAACTCGAAATTCCCTAAATTTCATGTGCCTCGTGAGCCACGGGGCGAAGAAGTGAATTAGTGGATATTGCCACAAATTATGCAAACTGTCGCAATTGTCAAATTGCTAAGGATGAGCGTGCGCAATAAATTATATTTGCAAATTTCAACACATATCAAGATTACTATCTCACCGAGATAAGACCAAAATCAAGAGCAATCTAATCGTGGCCGTCAATTGTCTGTTGTGCACACCAATTCGCCCACACTGTGAAAAAAACGTGAGTGCAAGATCGCGACGCGGTTAATGGATATTAAAGAAAAAATTGACAATACGAATGCTGTAATGTCGACAAAGCTTGATAAACGTACAACTTCGTAAGCTCCGCCTTCTCTCATGCTCCGCCTACCGAGAAATTCAAACTTTCTCACAAATTCATCACACCATTTTTCTCCGTGTTCAATTTCAACTAACTGAAGAAGCATTCACGGCAAATTCTCAAATTGACGCCCAAGAAGATGATCATAAATTTTAATGTTTAATTGGTTTGTTCCACACTCGCAGCATCGCCCAAATCTTGGTGGGTATTTAAGGAGAAACAAGTGAGAAAGAAATGCGTCTTTTGTGTACTCAACGCAAGAATGGAACGCTATTCAGCCAACAGACACACGTGAAGGGAATTATAATATAAATGTTTTTCCATACTTTTCCCTTTCTCAGGGAAGATACATGATGATTCCGTGGAGAGATTTGTCTATGCGAGGCTCTTCTCAGGGTATCTCTCTTGTTTCCTTTCTTCCCTTGACATTGTATTCAAATATGAGGCATTCTTTGGCATTTTTCTATCTCTGAAAGAGTTGCCTTGATAAAACAAGTTCGTCACTGATTATCTTGTTGGTGGTTTTGGAAGGGAAATTCAAGTGGAGGAATTTTTATTTTTCCTCTCGACAACAAACCATAAAGAAATTCTCTCTACGCGACCCCACGCACGATTATTAATATTTAATTAGTGGAATTCACTCTCATGTGCACACGATATATATTTCTTCCTTTTTATACCCGAAAAAAAAATACAGCAGATAACAAGACTTGAGTGGTTCTTGTGCTTTGGAGTTTCATAGAAAAGAAGACCGAATTGAAATTCAAATTTTTCGTCGGAAAAATGACGCATTCCATTTGCAAATGACATCATAATGCCGATAGTGAATTGAGTGGTTATACTATAAATATTTATGCGCTCTCTTCGGCTATCATAATTGCCTTTTTGGAATTACGGGACACTCTTTGGAAGCCAGGACTGGTCTCTCTGTTCCAAGTCTACTCAGATACTTGACACCATTTCTCCACAGCTTGTGCATAAAAATGAATAAAGAGAGCTTCAAAGCAATTGTGCAATGCAAAAACCCGACTTATGGACAGCATTGCGATAAAAGCGCGATATTAAAAATTGAACACTGCACTGAGTGAATATAATTAAAAAATCACAGAAATAATCCATCAGAACTCATAGTTTATGTGATTTTTCTCTCTCTCTCTCTCTTTCCACTCAATTCAATTTCGTTTGGATATGTAATAAAAGGCACCATTTAGCTCAATTACATTTCTACTCAGCATGACGCACAGCAATATTCCAAAGCAATTTCTGGTTGGCTTTTCAACATGTCTTTTTGGGATTATCTCGACCGGTGTTGTGCATGGATGTTTTCTTGCAAAAATCGGCTATTCATTCTCATTTTTCTGCCATGCGGCCTTTTTTTTCACCACCAACTCTATTTACCTCCAATTGACACACTTCTACCTTCGCGAATTTCGCCTCTCATAGAGGCTTTTTTTCCTCTTCTTCTTCTTGCCCAGCTCGCGCACCGCCCAAGAGAGGTCAAGATTTAGGTGAGGCCAGAGCGTGAAAATTTCAAACTTTTCACAACTGTGCACATGTGGACGAATTGTGATAATTAAATTATTGTCATTTCCTGACACTCTAAATTTTTAATAGTTCATAAAGTATTTCACATAATCATTTCACTCTTTTTTTCTGTAAATTTCATTAAAACCTCCCGCGGCACAAGGTCAGATAAATTTGAACATACTTTGAGATGAATCAGAGGAGAAAAAAGAATCACAGTGACTCTCTGGTGAGAGATTTTTTCCTCAAAAAGCGCGTATTTGTGATTGCAGGTCTAATTGATAATTGATTTCTGATGCGTTGATACGACCGCGTGACATTTCCGCGAGAATTTGATGAAAAAGGTGGGCAAAAGTGTGATAAGAAGTGGTTGTGCAGTGGTGTTAATTAAAATACCTTATCAGCTGTCTGTCTTGCTTGCGACAAGGCGGCCGCTGTTGAAATTGCAAATTTCTTCAGTAAATAATCCAAATGTTGTCACTTGTCCAAATAACCACCATTTAGCTGCCTTTCCTGTTCAATCATCACTCACTTCGCCTCTATACTATTCTATTCTTTCCCTCTCAAGCCACTAGACTCGATAAATCTCCGCTGGCTTTCGCTCCTCCGCCCCGTCTCAAGTCTTTGGTTTGGGTTGAAGAGGCGCAGAGGAAAAAAAACGTATATTGAATAGGAGAGAAACAGTGGGAAATGTGAAAGAAGTTCCGAAGAGAGAGAGAACCCAGTGAATCTCTGCGGCACTATTTCACCGTTCAAGTGCTTCACACCAACTGACTGGGTCCGGATTCCCGCGCCACTGGGCCGCTCATGCGACAAGCAACAGTCCCCGCGAGAAGCACGCCAACAGCATCGCCGATCGATCGGGCGATCGCGATCGAGAGCCCCACTTGTTGGACGTTCGCCGCGCGAATGGGCGCCGCGACAGGGATTAGCCCCAATTAAGCCACGTGAAGGGTGTCTTTTCCGCCTTTCGTGCTGCACGCCATCCAGTTCCGATCCCCGGCGCTGCGACTCATATTTTTAGAGTGATCGCAACTGATTAAGAAATGTCGGGAAAAATGTATCTCACTCGTAAAATTAGATTGACATTCACTCTCTTAGCATTGCAAGAAACGATGGCAACACACACTCAACATGTTTTCCACGACTTTTTTATAATCCTCTTCACTGAAACTTTTTACTTACGCTGACTTGCTTCATCCTCACCACCTCCGACGCCCCTTCGCGCTCAGGCCGCAGTGAATCGATGATTTATTTTCGTGTCACAAATATATTCCTCAGGGATTTTCACTCTCCGCATTGGATTCCTTGTTGCACCGCAACTCTCTTCTGATGATCTACGTGACTAAAATTTCAGGCGCAGCACCGGTAATGACACATTCGTCTATCAGTCGCCCGATGTTTCCTTTCCTATTTGTCAACAGCCATTCATCGCATTCATATTTATAGAAAAATTCATATTGTCTATTTTTCATGGGAATTATGAGAATCGTGTCTTCTCCTTGATCGGGATCTTCTTATTCTTAAGGCTCAACAATCTTTGGGAAACATTAACTCAATTTGTTCAAAAATACAAAACCTACAATGCAATTTATCCAGAGATATTTTGGCTAATTTACGGTTTCAAGTGTTAAATTACCATTGGATTTTAGATGTCCCTAAATTTTATAATAAAAATAATGAGAAAAAAGGTATTTCTTAGGTCAATTTTCCTTCTGGTGCTAAAAATTCGAAACACATTTCAATTTTCGAGACATTTACCTTAAGACAAAAAGTGATCAGAATTTTATGATCTTTCAAATGGTGTTGAGATCATTGCGATATCTTAATTCAGAGCCACGAAATTCAAAACTGTAGAGAAATTTGCAAAAATTTAATTAAGACACTGCATATTTCGCAAAATTCATGTTTTAACCATACAATTGCTTCGGATAACCTCATTAAATCATGAGTTTGGAATATCTAGAAGGCATTCATATCAATTGTAGAATAGGTGTCCTAAACTTATTTTCGCTACTGTACATATATATGCTTATGTGTTAATATTTGCAGCAAAATCATTATCTTTCGGTAGTTAAACTTGCGCAAAAAATCATTTAAGACGAGTATGAAGAGAGTTTAGGTGAAGAAACATCAAGAACATTTCATTTCCAGATTCTCCTGAAAATTATACTTGCTAATTTAATTCAGCTGGAGACAAGAAACGGAAGAGTGAATGTACAAACATTTCACATATTACACGCCCTTTAAGCTCCCAGAAAGCTTTGCGTTTTCCCAACAAAATTGCCCACCTTTCGGCGCCACTTGAGTGTGACTTTCAAACGTGAACGTGTTATAATTTATTTATTAGCCAATTGAGGAAATATGGAAAACCGTAGTGTGGTGCTTTTTGCAAAATTGTGAAACAGTGATATTAGAATTCTTTCACGCCATTATCTCGCAAATCAATCTGATGATCTGCGCTGGCTCTTGAGTTGCCCGGAAAATCCCCACGATCGTCACTGATGATGATGCGGAGCCGCGAACGCACCCTTTTTTCCTCCTCATGACCCGCGAGAGGACTGAGCGCCAGACAATAGGTTGAGGAAATACCGAGATGGCCAAAAATAGAGTCAAGCTGGGATTCTATGCTCACGGAGAACGAATTCTCCATTCGCTTGAGCATGGAATTTGTTTATGTGATCTCTTCTGTTTGCCGCTGTGTTTGTATTTCATGGAACTGAACGTAAGCAGATGGATTTCAGCTGCGCTTGTGTGTTTGTCGACGCACACACTGGAGCATCTTGAGAAATTCGCCTTGTCTCCCAAACGGCGATCGCTAAAAGGTCCGATTTTCGGTGGGATTTTCGGGAAAGGAAGAGAGATTTTGGACACAAGGCGGTGGGATTTAGTGGGAAATTGCGCAAAATTGCGTGGATTCGCAGAAGGAAAGTGCTCTGGGGGCGATTGGGAGACGGAAAAAGAGGCACCAGCACACACACTGCCAGGGAATTTTCCACGAATATAAATATGAGCGCGACTGACTGGAGTTCGGCTCCAGCCGCCACTGACGAAGCTCCAGTGACTCAACAGGTGTGATTCGAAGAGGTACTGCCTTCGAACGTCTCCGGAGCGATTGCCATCAAAGTGAAAAGTGGTGCAAGAGTGTGGAGTGGAATAAATTGACAATACGCGTCCCATTTCGCTGCAGTTCAGTACAAAAGAACCCTTTGTTCTTGGAGGGATTTAAACCGTACATTCAACTCGTTGTCAAGTGGAAATTTCACACTGTTAATTGGATATTTTCACCACCAGGTGAGTTGCCGTGTGAGGGCGGTTGTGGGGGTGGAAAGCCACCCTCAAAATTAAGCTTGACGGTCGATCGTGATCGTTGAGAATTTCGACACTTTTTTTTCCTTGGCCTCTGGACGCGCGCAACTCTTTGGAAGATCACACAGATCACTCAATTGTATCATGATCGCGCACTCTGTGAAACAACCCATCATTTTTCGGTGTCCCCTTTTCATCCCACCCATTTCACATGGAAATATATCACTCATTTTCCACCACACGCTCTCTTATCTACTCCAATACGCAGAGGCGCAGAAAAAATGTTCAATATTCATCTGAATTTCGTGATATGTGTCACATTATTAGTGTCCCCGCGAGTGTGGGACGGAGCGAGAGAGGAAACAGAACCCCACCAGACGCCTTTCGTCGCGTTCTGAGGCTCACCTTAATGTGTAAGCCAGGTAAATTAAATGAAATTGAAGTACATAGTGTGGCGCCATTTTGAATTCACTCCATACTGATAAATTTATTCTCCGTATCTCGCCTCAAATTTTTTTCGTGTCTGCTTGTTTTTTCGATAATACCTGCGCGCACACTCATCGCGCCGATCATTGCCGAGAATGGGGATGTCCAAGGCGGGGGAGGAAGTGGAGGATATTGGCCCAAAATAGGCAAATGAGACACAGCCTCCGAGTGTTGGAAAGTCTGTCTCTGATCGGGTGATCATGCAGCGATCATACGCCACACAATCACTGAATCTCTCTCGCTCTGTCGCTCAGGTGTGTGTTGGAGGTACTTTTTCGAGTGTTGAGCCCTATAGGAAACACCTAGTTTTTCCCCCCATTCCATACACTTATTTCCACTCATTTTGGCACACGCTTGCGCCAACGAAAACCACCTCAAAGAGCGTGTCAAGAGTGCCCCAAAACTGGAGGCGATGTGCAATAGAAAATATCCACCAAACGTCCATATTAATATTGAATTTTCTCGTGATGTCACATGAAATATCAAGGTGTGATTCCATGTTGATGCCTCTCTCCCTCTCACACAGACACACACCGTCCATCTCGCTCGCACTCGTGAACCTAGAAACGATCATATTGGACATAATGTGTATTTTAGCTGAGCTGAGGAAAATATGAGAGACTTCGCTGGTTTTCTCAGCTATTTGCTTATTATAATCCGTCAAGGTGATTGCTCACACTGACCAAAATGTCCACAAATTCACTCGGCGATTTTTGTGAAATTTCTTGCCCGATCGGCAGGTGATCTCATGAAGCCACAAGAGAGTCCAGTTTCGAGGTGTGAAGATCGCCGGGTGAACCAATTAAACGCATTCAGGGATGTTCATTGAAATAACTTCGCGTAAACAATGCACGATCGCTGAATGTAAAGAGAAGCGTCGCGGTATCAAATTTTTTCGCGACACACAAAGAAGAAAAATGTTCTCTTTTGTGTGCCTTTTTTTTTCAGCGCAACTCTTAATCGCACACCAGTTGTTCTCCGGCGCAATTTCATTATTATTTCGTACCCAAAAAGAGTTTCACAAATAAATATAGGAAATGAACTCATGCGCTGTTAATGCTATTCTAAGAATTCCAGTATGACTTGTGCACTTAAGATTCAAGAGAAATTGCTGAATATTGATTAAAAGTCACCTTATCATGCTAGGGAAGATATAAATCTGATTTTCTGGACAAACAATCATCTTGGACTCTCATTCAATACTTCAAATAAAATCTGTGAAGAGGATTTTGGCCGCAGTTGTGCGGAAGAAATGTTAAAAAAGCGTTAAACAATCGCTAAAAACGTACAAAAAGCAAGTTGACAAGTCCAAATAAAAGCGTTTTATGATGAAAATGTCTTCTAGACATTCCAAGTTCATGATTTAATGTAGTTATTGCAGCCAGTTTTATGGTTATAACATGGATTTAGCGCAAAATATGCAGCGTCCTAACTTAATTTTCGCTGTTCTTATGCGCACACAACTTTCTGTATTTTGCAATATCTCGAGATATTTGAGATATCGCCATTATCTTAACGCCATTTGAAAGATCATAAAATTCTGATGATTTGTTGTCTGAAGGTCAATGTCTCAAAAACTGAAAGAAATATCGAATTTTTAGCAACAAAAAAAAATTGATCCCAAATTTCATAGGTGTCCTAAGCTCATTTTCGCTACTGTAAGTTATCTTATCATTTCCCAGAAAACTGTGCATTAGAATGTTATTTGTAAGAAATTGGAGTGAAAAACTGCTTCAGTTTAGCTCTTGCGCCCTTCTGTCGTGTCATTTTCTCCCAGTTTGTCGACAATTCAACCCTTGGATGTCGTTAAAATATATGGTGCAGCGCTGATGGAGGCTGAAGAGAGAGACGAGCGTGATGGGCGAACTGTACATAAGATCAAATTGACGGTATTGAAGTAAAGCCTCGATGGCGATCGCGATGGGAAGATTTGTGGTGCGAGAGAAAATGGCCAGAGTCGTCATGATTCCGCGCCAACCTCATGATCTTCTCTATGCGATCTAATAAGCATCTAACGGTTTCACGTCGATGCGTCCCTGGAGCAAAATTATTCTTATTATTTACACTCGCCGAAGAGGAACACACACGCGCCCATTTCTTCATCTCCGGGGCGTCTCGGGCACCGTCCTGAAGAGTGTTGCTTCTCGGGCCCTTGTGATGGCGCGCAGAAGAGCAGCAAGCGAAATGTGTGCCTTTCCTCATATACTTGCTGTCTCTCTTGCGCGCTGAGCCATCATTTGAGAATCCCTCTGCATAGGCATTTTTTTGCTATGTTGTTATGCATGTTTCTGCATGGAATGGACGCACGGAGTTGGTCGCCATTTATGGATGACGAGCGTGTGTGCCAAAAAGCGATTTGTCACTCTGTCATTTTTGGCAAAGATCGCGATCTCTCGCGACCGTTGAAGATCACACTCTTCAGTAGTATCATCGATTCATTGAAATTTATTCCACCTTCTTGTTTGGAGGGCACTTTTATGATGTATTGACGAATGACAATTGCGGAGCGCTGGAATGCCGCGACGACTTGACGAAAAAAATGCCGGAAGCCATTTGGCATTAATGTGGAAAGAGTGCCAATCGACACAAAGGGGGAAAAAAGTGCGTCCAGCCCACCAGCTGACGATGCTGATCACTGACAGGTGATACCTTCTGTAATTGCAATTAAAACTTGGCTCCCAGCTAGCATTTGCCAATGGAGGTGGCGAAAATTGTCGAGCATGTGTGCACGTGTAATTTGTACAAAGTGCTCTTGAGATCACTTGGCGAATTAGAACGAGTTAGAAAAAAAGTGCCTGATTAAATCCATTGTTTAGCGTATTGTTCAATTTATTGCAATTTCTCACGTACGATCGATTAAAAGCTGAGATTCCGTCTGCGGCGATGCCTTCGTGTCGCCATTGTTGGCTTTCTTTAGCGGAAAAACACCCCGCGAAGTCAAATCAGAGGTGAAAAATCTCATTTTTCTTCCTCAAACTCGCGCCCACGTGATTTACCGATAGATCTCTACCACATGCAGCCCAGCAATCTCTATGCAGATGAAAGCTCTCATCGTGAGAATGACAATGTTTTCTTCCCCTCTCTCTGTCTCTCTGGGCATCTAACAACGCAATTTACCCAATACACTTGAGCATTTCTCCGCGCGTGTCGAATTACAATTCTCTATGGCTTTGCTTTTTCGTTGGTATTGGGCAAAATCAATCCCGGATATTCAATTCTACACTCCAGCATTAGAGAAATTCATCCGATGAAGTGCATCTCTCTCTCCCGCAATCGCATCCACTCCTATTTTACTTATGCACACACAGCCAGAGGTTTTTCTTCTTTTTCACCAAACCGCCCAGAATCGAAAAGGCGGTGAGACAGATGCGTGGGCTTTCCTACTTCTTCGTCTTGGAGGAATTAACATAAAAATGTTGAGACTCACACACTCCACATCGCGCTCGTATGCTGCTATGCTGCGGAGCCGTGCATACTCGGCGGAAAAAAATCATTCAACTCAAGAGGAAAGCTCAGCAGATGTAGCATTCTTCACTGATATGTCAATGATGTGTCCATCAGAAGACTGTGTGACTTCATGCTGCGGCACTTTCACCACAAGAATGATTCTTCAGTGCAAACATCGCAGGGATTTTCCGATTTTGAGTGCTAAAAGCGTCATTTCGTGCTATTGCTTCTATCAATTTCTTCAAAATTAGCTCTATCTTGTGAATTGTGATCACAGTGGCGTAACTCGTCACTGAAAGGAGGTGAATTTATTGAATATTTCAGCTTGATCCAATCAAAATCACCTTCGCCGGTTTGTATGATCAAATCCTAGATAATGCTGTACTGGTTTGATCGCCTCAAACTCTATTGATTTCATACGAGAAATTGTCTGTCTTTCCATAGTATGAATTTTCTTCCAAAAACACCTCTCAAAATCACGCATTTGGGGATCAAATGGGTCACATTTGTCTAATAACAAATATAGTTTTATCGCATATTGTAGAGAGAAAATGGCTGAATAATATGAAAATTCTATTTTTGCATTGCAAATCTTTCGCTTAGAGTCAAGATCCGTTGGAAAATAAGCCAAATTTTCCGCTGATGCCACTGTTGTGACCTCAGCATATTTATCACTCAGCAAACACTATCACTAAATTGACGTTGGCTGCGGAAGGACTGATTGATAGAATTGATAAGATTGCCATAAATTCACCATTTTAACTATGAAAAAAAAACCCACCATTTATTCCGTAAATTTCGCAACAAGGAAACATTATTTGCACGCATTTACATTGCATTAAATCAGAAAGTAAAGTCTCATGAGGATGAAAACTGATCTCTGTTGTGTGTGCGCAAAACACTGCGAGATATCAATTGTAAATTACGTGATTTTTTCTCGAAATAATATTGCAGCAGTGTTGAGTTATTGGATGTTTGCATTTCACTCGAGTCAGCACAAACACGACTCGATAAAGTGCCTCAACAAAACGACGAATTACAGCTTAAGACATGTTCTGAGCAAAATTTTATTGTCTACACATGAATCTCATTTGCCACACTATCTCGATGATAATTATACTGAGTGTTTTTGGTGTCTTTTTTGCTTGCAGGGAAAAAATGAAGCGCCAAATATGGCTGCTGGTGTTTCTCGTGAGCGTTGTGGCAGCGAAGAATCTGGCGGAGACAACGACTCAGAAAGCCGTCCCCATCGACAATGTTCCAGATGATATCATACTATCCCTAAGCACAGAGTCAACAGCCAAGAAAGAGGAGACATCTTCCTCAACTGGTGAGTCTTGTGATTATCCCAATAACTGAAGGACTTTCCATTGTCTCTGTGATTGTTTCCAGCTGCCCCAGTTGCCAAGAAGGACGAGTCCAACTTGACGGAGACCAGTGATCCCGCGGATGAGGATGAGGATGATGATGACGATGACTGGGATTACGACAGTGACGAGTACGATGCCTATGACGACTCCGGCGAGGATGCGTACTACAATTCGCAGGAGAAGACGACAGACAAGTTCAAGCTCACCCCGATCAAGGGTGACAAGGTGGACATTTACGACTACGACAGCCTCGAGGACGTGAAGATCCCCTGCCCGAGGGACTGTGTGTGCGAGAAGAACATGAACAGCTACATTGTGGCCACGTGCAGTCGCCTGGACAGCGAAGTGCAGAAGTTCAGCTCCGACATCACTGATCTGCAAGTGATTGACGTGGGCCCCAAATACCCAATCGTCCTCGGCGAGGAGTTCTTCCTGAAGGTCGGCCTCAAGCAGTTGGTGTCCATTAAGATCTCCAACAGCACAATTAGCTACATTGCCGCATCAGCTTTCAAAGGCATCACCGATCTCTACTCCGTCAACTTCACCAACACCAATCTCGAGCTCCTGCATCCCGACACCTTTGCCAACAACACCAAAATGCGGCTCCTGACTCTGGCCGGAAACGACCTGAGTCTCATGCAGGAGAAGAACTCACCCTACACGAACTACATGCTGAAGGTAAGCCAGAAATTTGTAGACATTGTGAAATTCTCACTCTCACAATCCCTTTTCTGTCCCTTTTGCAGTCTTCTTCCATTGAGGAACTGGATCTGTCGCGGTGCAATCTGAAGAGTCTGCTGCCGACAGCCTTCAATGAACTCAAGAACATTGTTTTCATCAACCTGGCTGAGAATCGTCTGACCACACTTCCTGCCAATCTGTTCGAGCGCGTCGAGACCATTGAGGAGTTGGATCTCTCCTTCAATGCCATCGCGGACCTGCCCAAGAAGATCTTCGCCAAGACCGCGCTGGCCATGCTGCACCTCAAGTACAACGAGATCTCCACCTCCGTGGACTTTGTCACCAGTGATCTGCAGAAGCTCGATCTGAGCTACTGCAAAATCCGCACCATCAACGGACACATGTTCAAGGGACTCGAGGGACTCAACAGTCTCATCCTCAAGGGCAACGGCATCCGCAAGATCAATCAGGCGGCATTCATGTCCCTGAAGAATCTGCGCCACATTGACTTGTCGTTCAACGATCTCGAGCAAGTGCCGGCGCTCATGTTCGCCACCAACACCGAACTGGACTTTGTCAAGCTCAACGACAATCCCCGACTTAAGGCCCTGCCTCTGGATGGCTTCGAGTCTGTGACTGGGAGCTTCTCCGTTTACCACCTCGACGTGTCCAATTGTGATATCAGCGAGCTGGGCTTGAACGCCTTCTCCACAATGCCCGAACTGACGCGAGTCAATCTTGCGTGGAACAACTTGGTGAACATCGAGCCGGGCGTCTTCAGCTATCTCAATAAACTGAAGGATCTCGACCTCAGCAATAATCTTCTTGAGACCCTCGATGACACTGTCTTCCTGCACAATCGACAGATGACAAAGGTAATTCCTTCCGTGCAGTTAATCTCCATAGAGATAAATGGCCAACAATAGACAATTGAGTAAACTTCCTCGCACTATTTTGATACAATTGTGAAAATTTCCACGAATTGCGTCGCAACGATACTTTGAAACCTTATCGAAATACCATAAGCCTTATCATCATTCCCATTATCAGCCTCCAGATGTATTAACACGAATTGTTTTCCTCCACCAGCTCGTCTTGGCAGGAAATGCTTTCGAGAAGGTGTCCTCCAAGGTGTTTGCACCCCTGGAGAATCTCATCGAACTGGACATCAGTGACTGTGACCTGAGGAGCCTGTGGAGCGACAACTCAGCCAAGGGCAAGGGCGTGAAGATCCTCAAGCGTCTGCGGTACTTCAATGTGTCCAACAACGAAATCAACACCATTAAGCGAACAGAAGTTGAGGTAAAATTTAATCTCATAACAATCCCAATTGTTCGCGTATATTGAATCCTCTCAATTGTCCCGCAGTTCCTCAGTGGACTCCGTGTGCTGGACATCGACAACAATCCTCTGAACTGCAATGCAGACTTCATGACGCTCATGACGTGGCTGACCAAGAAGAAGATCAAGGCTGGCGATGCTAGTCTCGAGCAGGGTCGCAATGCCAAGCTGGAAATGCTGCTCGATTATCCCAAGAGTGGCAGTCCGGACTCATCGTGGCAGAAGATTGTCTACAAGGCTTGCAGCCGAACGACTTACAGTCCCGACGTGCACGAGGTGGAATCCACCACGGCGCCCAAGATTAAGGAAGTGGAGAAGCCAAAGCCGCCCAAGGAGCAGCCAGTGGACTCCACGAAGATCAAGGATGAGGCAGAGAGCGAAGATGAGGATGATGAATTCTACGATGACGAGTACGATGATGACATGGATGAGAATGCGGAGATGATTGACAACAACGACAAGGATGTCAAGGAGAAGGATCTGTTTGTGAAGGAGCTGGACATTATCCAGAAATTCCAGGGCGATCTGTTCGGTGAGTTTTGAAGGTAAACCACACTTTGAGCTCAATAATCTGATGTCTCTTTCTCCGCCACAGGCAAGGAGAGCGACTTGTCCGACGAGGAGTACGACGATGACAGCGAGGAGGATGAGGACGGATCAGCGCCAACTGTCGTCTCGCGCCTCATGATCATCTGGCCAATTCTGATTGTGGTGCTCAGCGCTCTGCTGCTGCTCATGGTGATCGGCAAGATTGTGTCGATGCTGATGAGAAAGCGCGGCGAGAGATATCGCCAAGCCTTGCTGGCCTCCAAGAATTCAATTGTCTACCAAAAACTGTCCGAAGACATCCAGAAGGCTCCGCCCACGCCCAAAATCAACCGATACCAGCCCATCAATCAAGTCTAACCCTCCAGAAGAGCTTCAGCAGTTCTCCAGAGTTTCCCTCTCCTGCCCCTTTTCCTGCTAACCCAGTTTTATCCTCCAAGCTAGGATCGATATGTCCTACAATCCCCTGTAGTGTGCCTCTCCTATCTCCTAACGAATTGTATAAATGAATAGAATTTATGCGCTCCCTTGATTGGCTTAAGAGAGTGCTTTTGAATGCAGCTTTTAATATACACACAATATATATTATTTTATTATTCTACAAAATACCGTTTGCTAGTATTTAGTCTTAACAATGTAATTTTTTGAGTAAATGATCGGCTAGTTTTTTTTCTGAATGGACTTAGAAAAGAGAGTCGAAGTGAACTTTAAAGCAATGGCAATCAAAATTTCCTGCATTAATTGACTTCTTTTTCATGATTAACAAACTCCAACCACCACATAAAGTGCCATTCCAATTTTTTTTTGTAATGATTGAATGAAAGAAGAAAGAAATGTTACGTGTAAGAATTCACAATGAGGAAGAGAAATAAAGTAATTGTCGAAAGAAAGAAACCTTATTCCTGTCCTAAAGAATGTGTTGATATGAGAAAGAAAAAAAGAAAATTCCAAGAGAAACGGTTGGAGTTGTGCTAATAATTTCTTTTATGCGTTTCGGATTAGTGAAACCCCTTTTTTATATCTACTTTTAATGTTGAATTGAGAATATTTAGAGCTAGTCTAAAAAGTATTTAAATATTTTTTGGGTTTTGTATTGTCTTCGAGTGAATCCCTTGAAGAAATAAAACGTATTACTTAAAAGATCTTATTTGCTGTTATGCGGAAAAGTCCCTGACTTGCGCCATTGGAGATTTGGAAACATTTCATGAAATCCACTTGTTTGGGAAGGCCTTATCGGCTGAGAAACACAACTGTGTGAGGCGTTTATCAAGGTTTTGTCTGTGTTTGTAGAGAATTCACTTGTCAAGAAAGATGATTCCCAGACGGAGAGTTGTTGATCTTCTGCACAGCATTTCACGGGCATCGTGAGTATTTAAGGAATATTGTGCAATAAATATTGTTTTCCACTTCATTATGTGATCCTTTGCAGATGTCGATGTCCCAGCCATTCAACAGATGCCGGCGGAGGCGTCAAAGACAATGCTTTCGAGGTATAAACCGTGAATATTTCTTATCACCTCCAATTCCCTAACATTTTATTGCATCGCATATCAAAGATGACGAGTTCCACCATTCGATATGGGCCCGGTGTGTCAAGAGAATTAGGGGCCGACCTGGCTAATCTGCGGGTCAAGAATGTCTGTTTGCTCATCGATAAGAATATTGTGGACAAACCATCAGTGAGAACCGCTTTCGACTCCCTGACGAGACACAAGATCAACTATGAAATCTTCCAAGACGTCCGAGTGGAGCCAACAGATCAGAGTCTTCTGAAAGCCATTGAATTCGCCAGGAGAAGGAGTTTCGACGCTTATGTCGCCATCGGCGGAGGCTCAGTGATGGACACAGCAAAAGCTGCCAATCTTTATGCTGCGCATCCCGAAGCGGAATTCCTGGATTTCGTCAACATCCCCGTGGGAAAGGCTAAAGAGGTGGTTTTGAGAAATAATCCACAAGATCTTCTATAGATTATCTTCGATTACAGGTCACAAATCCGGTGAAACCTTTAATAGCCGTGCCAACAACCGCCGGAACAGGATCTGAAGCCACAGGGATTATTGTATTCGATTACAAACCGCTGCACATCAAGACGGGAATTTCCAACAAGGCTCTAAAGCCTGTGCTGGGACTTATTGATCCTCTCCACACACTCTCGTTGCCTGAGAGAGTGATGGCCTATGCAGGATTCGACGTCTTTTGCCATGCGCTCGAGAGCTTCACAGCTGTTCCTTACACAGAACGCGGTCCAATGCCTGCGAATCCCAAGCTAAGACCGCCTTATCAGGGAAGCAATCCCTTATCAGACGTCTGGGCTAGATTCGCTCTTTCCACAGTCAGGAAGCATTTCAGGTAGTTCAGCATTGAATAGACTATCAGAACTCGCTCATATCCTTCTTTCTTCACCAAGATCCGCTGTCTTCAATCCTGACGATGTCAAGGCCAGAGCTGAGATGCACTTGGCAGCATCAATGGCTGGAGTTGGGATTGGAAATGCCGGCGTTCACCTTTGCCATGGGCTTTCCTATCCGATATCCGGTCTGGTGAAGTCTTTCATCCCCGAAGGATACAACAAAACGCACCCGATAATCCCTCACGGCCTCTCAGTGGTGATGACAGGTCCTGCAGTGTTCAACTTCACTGCTCCTGCGTGTCCTGAGAAGCACTTGGAAGCTGCTGCTCTCCTCGGAGCTGACACGGCGAACACCCGAAGAGAGGACGCCGGACGGAAGTTGAGTGAAATTGTGCGACAATTTATGTATGACCTCAAGATTGAGGACGGTTTGAGCGCTTTGGGCTTCTCAAGAGAGGACATTCCGTCACTGGTGAAGGGAACTCTGCCCCAAGAACGATTGATAAAACTGGCGCCGAGAGAGCAAACAGAGGAAGATCTCTCGCTACTCTTCGAAGACTCCATGAAAGTCTACTAAATCGCCGAAAGATGGGCAAAAGAGCCGCTTTGCTGCACGATTCAAAATGTATTCGGTGGAAAAAATACACGGGATTTGGGAATTATTTGCACAATTCTTAAGTAATGTGTTCGAGAAGATTTATGAGGTGGTGAAGAGAAAATCCGTATTAAATCTTCAGCACACGGTAATTAGATTTTATGAAAGAAAAACTCCAAAATTCATTTTTGCAGTAGCAAAAATAAGCAAAAACCCTTTCAAGATTGCCTTTCAGGGGTGGAAAAAGGCGCAAAACATCTTCTAAAAATTCCATGAATTCCTGAGACACTCTCTCTCTTTTAAGTGACACCAGGAGAGATGGTAAGAAGCATTGCTAAGTGTTGGTTCATCGCTCATGGAAGACAGTCTGTTGACAACTACAACCGCATCTCTCGATTCAGGCCTCTTGGCCGAAGCGCAAATCCAATTTATCTGGTGGAGTCTCAACTGTTCTCTCCCCCAGAATTCAGTACGAGAGCAACTTCGGAAGCATTGAGATTGCTTCCCCGCCAGCGAGATAAACTCTTGAACCCCAAACGAAGACAGCAGAAGACTTAAAGTGTGTGTTTTTCACTGAGAAAAGACGCAGTGGTGCATCATGTGAAGTGTTTAAAATTGAATTACATCGATAAACAGTGTGTGTGCGCGCCTTATCGTCAGGTAACAAATTATCTTATCAGTTTGCTCAGAATTTTTGAGGGAATCACTTAAGGCGCAGTTGAAATAAGTTGACTTTCTGGGCTGATCATAAAGAAGTCTTTTATTGACTCACACAGTTCTCGTGGAGAATTTTACTTAAGAAAACCCTGGCTTTTCCTTTTCATCCAGCCGAGAGAGAGAGAGAGTGAGTGAAAGTGGGTGAAAATCTGTATCTTAAAAATCTGTTAAGAATATTGTGTGACAAAGAATGGAATATCACTGTAAAATTCTACAGCCTCAGTGACGGCTTTAAATCTCACTTAATTGGCGTTTCCTGATCACATCTCGTTGTGGGCAACATTTTGTGTACATTTTTTTTCACTCTCCAGAGAGTGACCGAGTGTCCATTTGCACAAGACACACAACTTCACAATCATCTCCACATTGAGACGCTTGAATTTTGTGTTAATTCAATTTTGTCGATCATACGGAAATTTATGATCATCTTCCGTGTGTGCACAGGATTGAAAAATGCCCCGAAGCGTGTCGAAAAAAAATGCAAATTTCCCCTTTGTACTGAACACAACACTGTTGATGCTAAAGCCAATTGATTGGCCATTGAAGTTGCGACAATTGTCAATTGCTCGTGAGGGATGTGAACCACTCCTTGTGCACACAGATCGATCAGCACACAAATGCCCGCGCGAAGTGATTTCATGGGCAGCAATATTAGCATCGTCAACATCACCCAGAATCTTCATTATGATTGCTTGACGATCCGCGACCAAATGACAAAACGCGACAAATTGCATAAATGCATGATATGCACAATCACGATAATTACACGATAGTGAAAAAAAATGCACTTTTGCCTCTGCGAACTGAGCTCTTAATTGGCGGTGGCTTTGCAGGAGGGAAGCATGAAGGACGTTTGGGCGGCCGGACCTCTTCTCCGGTGCCTCATCGTGGTTCTCAGTGCGCTGCCCTTGGCACTGAGTCTCACGCCGCGAGCCACGGATCTGGAAGTGCCCAAGAGATGCAACCTGGAGCGCGTGTTCAAGCGCATCGGCTACAACTGCGCCAAGTTGGATTTGAAGGAAATTCCGCAGTACCTCAAGACTTCAATGGAGGTGAGAATTATCCGGTCATGAGTGATTTTCAGTGACAATTTAGGAAGAAATTAGGGTCATGCAAAGATGCTTATTGTCGCGTGATTGCTTAAAATGATTGCGTAGAAGATTTAATAAGCACCATTTGGAGAAACTCATTTCCACTGAAGATTATAGTTGGAAAATGTCCAAGAGTTCTCTGAACACTGGCTGAAAATGCAAACTTATTAAGTGTTTCTTGTATTCTTAAGCATGAGAAGCAATTTATCTAATATTTTATGCTTGCATTGCATCCAAAAGAGCCCTTTTCTCCTCTATTCATTGAAACTTATCGTCTGGAATTTCTACTTCTTCCCCCCAAAAAATGCCTATCGCAGTTTCAGAGCTCCACTATTTTACTCGAAAATCTCCGAAAACGCACAATGCAATGCTTGATAAGGAAATCCATCCCTTCCTCCTCAATCGTGATATCATTCTATTGCATTTTAACTGGGATTTCTCGCATCACTTGTGAATTTTCATTGCAAATTTTCCCTGCACATGTTAATCTTCACACCATTGACGCTTTGTGAGCTGATGAGAAGACAAGAAACTCGAACAATCTTCCAATTGAGAGGTCAATTGGACTGAACGCCGAGCGGAGGAATGAAAAAATACAAAGCAATTAGGCTCAATTAGAGATGAGGTCAGAGCGAAGGAAGATGCGAAGAGAGGCGGCGCTCAAGAATGGAGTTGCTTTAGCGGCATGGAAAATGAGATTTTCTTTTTCTCATCCCCAGATTCTCGATGCTTCCTATAATCGGATCAGGGACTTGAGTCCGCAGTCGTTTAACCGGTACACAGATCTTCAGTATTTGTATCTGGCGGAGAACATGATCCAGACCATCGAGCCGGGGACTTTTGCCCTCCTCAAGAATTTAGAGGCCGTTGATCTCGCCTACAATGCCCTCACCACAATCCCAGCGGAGCTCTTCAGCCTGCCACTCCTGCGCAATCTCTACATCTACAGCAACAACCTGTACGAACTCAAGGCGGACTTGGAGGTACGGATTGATCATCTGCAAGACCCCCAAAATCTCACAAATCACTCCTCTTCGCAGGCCCTCGAGAAGCCAATCACAGCGCCACTCCAGCTCATCAACATTGCCGATTGCAGACTAAACGCCGTTCCGGACTTTGGCATTCTTCCAGATCTCTGGCACTTGAACATCTCCTCGAATCCCCTTCAGCAGATTCAGCCACAGCAATTTTCTCCGCTGTGCAACTTAAAAACCGTAGATTTAAACAATACCAAAATGTCTCCTTGTGCATGTCAGCAGACGACTTTCTACATGCGCAAGAGATCCATTGCCATTAAGAATGGCATGTTTAACTGTGATAGTTCAGCGGAGGGTAAGCTTAGCACCCCTAAAATGCGTAAAACTTCCCACTCACCTCAGTTCTGCACTCTTCCAGAGTTGATCTACTGTCCAGACGTTGTGAATTCCACGCGAGAAGCCGCAGACTACGACGAGTGCAATGCTGTGAGAGAAGTCAAGGTGCTCAATGAGCAAGCCACTTCCTCCTGGATGATCGTGGCGCTCTCCATTCTGGGCTGTCTGGTCGCCTTCATCCTCCTGCTGTGCATCTGTCATCGGCGGAATAAGAAGAGCGCCAAGATGTCCCAGAAAATCTCCCTCAGCGACGTGAAACCATCTGAGGAGAACGGCAATCGAGACAATCTCCTGTCCTATGAGAAAACTTGACTGATCCAGGAGTGTACATAGAGCAATAAACTGTCCAGGATTCTGTATTCAAAGATTTATGCAATTTCCAGATCAACTGGAGCTTCCACAGGCGTCTCCGCGGGTGCCTCCGTTGGTGCCTCGATGGGCGCTTCATTAGGCGCTTCTGTGGGAGATTGGGAGAGCTGAGCCTGATCAGTATCATCTCCTGAATTCTTCTTGGACAGGGAAGACAAGCGACTCCTGCCCGGCTGATAGATCTGAATAGACGGGCGATCTTTGTTGCGAATCCTGCGAGCCTGGCGCTCTTCCTTCTGCTTCTCACGCTCCTCTCGCAGCTTCTCGCGCTTCAGCTGACGATTGGATTTCTCAACAGGCTTCTCTTCATCCTTCGTTTCAGCCTTTTCTGCCACTGCTTTAGCGACATCATTATTTGCCTCAGATGTTGAGGCTTCAGCCTTCTTCTCTTGCCTCTGTTCGCGCCTTCTCTCGCTGTACTTCTTCACCTCCTTCCTCACTTCCTCCGTGGACGCAGAAGCACCTTCATTAGCACTCTTCTGGGCTTTCAGCAATGCCTTTTCCTTCTTCCTCTCCTCATTGCGTCGCTCTCGCTCAAGCTTTCGCTGCTGATCTCTCTCCGCACGCTTCTTGTCCTTCTCCTCCTTGGCAGCTTTGGCCTTCTCATCGAGAGGCGGCTTTTCCTGCTTCTTCACGTCCTTTTCCTTCTCCTTGTCTTTCTTGTTGCGCTTATCAACCGTTCGAGATTTAATTGTGCGCACAATAATATCATCTTCGCCCTCCTTCTCCTGCTCAGCGATCGAGGCTGGAATTCCCTTCGCCACTTGGTTCTTCTTCTTCAATTTCTCCTCCTCCCGCGCACGGCGCTTCTCCTCAACCTTGCGCTTCTTCTCCTCTCGCTTCTCCTGCCTCTTCGTGGCAATGAATTCGAGCAGAGGCGTTGATTTTATCTTCTTATCGTCCCGGAATTGATACGTAAACTCCAGCTTTGACTCCTGCTTCTCATTATCGCCTTTGAGCGTCTCCAGGAAGGCGAGAAAGTGGGATTCAGTCTCAATTGTGTTGCATTTGGCGTCTTTCTTGCGGGCCCGATTCTTTGGCAGACCCTGAAAGGGAGCAAACTCCACCACAGCCGGATATTCAGCACCTCTGGTGTCAACAAACACGTATCCATCGAATTTCTCCTTGAAGATAAAAATATCCTCTTGACGCAAGAAGTTTATGTACGCTCGGCATGAGGAATTCAAGCCCAGCGTCCAATCGGCAGGCACGAAGTAGAAGTAATCGTGGTCAGGAATGGGATTGATTTGCTCCTTGAATGTCTCCTCGGACATTGTGGGCGGCAGTCGCCGAATAACCACCTGCCGGAAAAGTCAGCATAAAGAAATGCTTTCGCGTAGGAAAATCGTGAGTTTTACCTTTGTCAGGGGCTTCTGCTTGTCCTTCTTCCTCTTATCCTTCTTGTTGGGCCTCTCCTTCTTCACTGGCGCCACAGAAATCTCTATTTTCTCACCGTCTTCACTCATTATTGCGGAGTTCTCTCAATATTGACTACAATTTAAGTGTGGTTATGTGCAGAATTGTTTTGACGTTCACCAATTCGCCGAAATTCGCCACCAGAAGAAATTCCTTAAATTCTCAGGCCAGAGATTTTCAGGAAGATTCTCATTACAAACGGATATCGTTAACAAGACCATTTGACTCCTTGCAGATGCTTTTAAAAACATACTTATAATAAAGCATAGGAAGCTTTTCATTTAGACTACAAGTTACAAATCTATTTCATGTGCTGTTTTGGCTGTTTTACAAGAATCTAAGCTCTAACCGGTGAACTTAAAAGGCCCAAGAGATGACAATCTGCCTCAAGAATTGTCATATCCTTCTCCGATCCCAAGAATCGCGAGGAGAGCTCCAGATCTTTTACGCGCAGTCGAACTCTGGCTCCTCTAACGTAAGACCTAAAAAGATAATTTCTTGCTTAATTAGCTGAAATTTTCCATTGTCATAACATAGGACAGATCACTTACTCTCCATTCTTCGCCGGACGTGTGCAGACACAGTGGAATTTCCATCCGAAATCAATATAAAGATCATCGTTCACGACATGAAAGATTTGCCCGGTGACAATTTTTCCCTCGGGATCACCAAGCTGAAATAATGCACAGATCTCAAACCCAGATTCTTTGCTTTTGCTTATTTCAGTAAACTCACGTCCATAAACTTGGAATTCCTCAGGAGAGCAGCAAAAGTTTGCTCTTGTTTGGGCGCCGGCTGCTCCTCAGGTTCCGAGAACTTTTTCAGTGATTTGGCGAAACCACCCAACTTCTCTTCACTCTCTTGGGCAGGGGGAGTTGCCGGTGGACTGCAGAAGTATCTTGGATGGAGATTTAAGGATCTTTTGGGTATTTTTCTGAGGAAATTTCCTCCCACGTTTCTAATCAAAACACAGCACGACATTTTCACGGCGAAATTGTGACAGCTGTGGAACGTGTCCAGAATCCCGCCAAAAACCACTGTGGAACTTGTGGGAGGAAAGGAGTAATTTTGGCGGAAGAATTAAAAGAAAGACTTTATTTCGCTGATATATATTCAGAAAAGCTTCTCAGAGAAAAGTTTATTGTCTTTTCACGATCAAAAAAGCTAAGTACATCCATAAAATTGATCCAATAATTGAGATTTAGAGCATTGAATTGCGGCTGTCGGAATCATCGCGCGGCAATGGACTCGAATGAGCACTCTTGTCGTACTCCCCAAGAGGAACGTCCTTTTTCCCTGTGCGGACAATATCCTAGAATGGGGAGAGTATTAGCAAGTGTCCCTAAGCTAGGGCCCCTAATGAAAAAAAGAGGTGTGAGAAAAAGATAAAAAAGCTTAAATCGGCAGTACGCTGAAGCTGTTAGGAAAAATTGAAAATAAGGAAAAACTCACTACAGCTAAGCCATCTTTAATTTTGAAGGCTTACTTCTTCGGCATCACCATTCTTGCGGTGCTCACTCTCAAGTCTCTGCCTCTCCACTTTCACTGCCCAAGCCTTGAGGTACTCCACAATGCCATGGTGGCCGAAGGTTTCCGCCTCGTCGATGGGCATGTTTCCCCAGCGATCGCGGGGATCGTGGGGCACGCCGCACTGCTCCAGCAGGAAGAGGACGCAGTCCTTGTGACCCTCAGCGGCCGCCAGATGCAGAGCTGTCCTCCCGTCGTAGTCCGCCAACGTGACGTCCATGCCCGAGAGTTTGTGCCTGAAATCAGACGCGAGATGACGTTATCGCTTATCTGGGATGTTAGTTTTTTCCTTTATCAATTAATTAAAGCAAAGAATTGATAGGAAACTTTATATGCCAAATGTTTTGCTCAAACATTCTGATAATTTCGCACACAGAATTGACTCATTTCAGTGAAAATTTTGATGAATTTAGCGATATTTGAGATTCCATGTGGAGCAACTCACCGCCTGAGAGCTGTCACATCCCCGCTGGCGGCTGAGAAGAGGAGATTAACAATGGACAGTCCTTTGGTTTCGTACCGATGCCTCCGTGGATCCTTCTTATTTGTGGCGTGCTTCAAGTTGTCGTAGCGGTGGAAATTGAAGGCGGCTACAATCTCTTCGGAGAACTGGAGGCCGCGACAACTGTTCCCTAGTGGATCCAGTGGTGGCGACCAACAGAAGATGCCCATCACATTGGGAATGACCACGAGAATTCCTCCACTGACGCCAGACTTTGCCGGCAGGCCCACTTTGAAGGCGAACTGTCCTGAATAGTCGTACATTCCGCAGGAGTGCATTAGCGACAGGACGTCCCTCACGACTTCTGGGCGCAGGACTTTCTCCTCGGTCACCGGACAAATGCCTCCGTTGGCCAGAGTGGCGGCAACGACAGACATGCTGTCGCAAGTGGCTTCCATTGAGCAGCACTGAAAGTAGAAATCCATGCACTCGCGCAGGTTTGTCTTGTCCGGATAGCACTTGTGCTCTCTCATGTAGAAGCCCAGGGCGTAGTTCCGATCGGCGGCCTCCCTTTCGGACAGGAAGACGCCATTGTTGAAGCCCAGATTCTCACCGCCGGACATTCGCTTGAACCACTGCATTGTGTAGTCGAACTTCTCGGCCAAAGTCATGTCGCGTTTCACGAGAGTCTTCAACAGGGAACAGACCAGAATGGCTCCAGCGTTGATCATAGGATTGTGCGGTTTCTCTGGAAAAATTGATTAAAAAAAATATCAAATTTAAATTTGAAAAATAAAGTTTGAATAAAATTATTTTTTCAATGAAAAAAAAATCATGTGAAGGAATACACTTAAATAATAAATCGAATCCTAAGCCAATTTAGCATGACCGTAGATAAATAAGTGAGAACGCGCTAAGTGAAATGATTTTTTGCACAAACATAATAATTAAATTGAAGTGATAAATATTTGCACTTTGACACAAATAACATCGCTAAATATAGGCTTATAATACAGGAAAGACGAATTGCTGTATAACTTTTATTCTGCCCGGAAGATTATTATTTTTGAGGTCGATCTTATCTGGATCAAGTTAATCTGTCGCCGAATTTTGGTGGAGTGGAAATTTCTGTGATTCTCTACATTGGAAGAGTGCGAGTTTATCGTGTTTCTTGATATTCTTGACATTGAGACGGAATTTTATCGTCTGAGCGATGAAAATTGATTGATTTAAATGCTTTGTGGTATCAAAGAATTGTATTACTGGCTGGCTTGACAACTTGATACCATTATATCGCGATGATCGTTAAAAATTTAGAAACCCGGGAAGTTATGGGCATTTAATGGTAATGCCGCTGAATTTTAATTCAGGATCATCATGTCAAACGATGTCTTGTTATGGGGCGCACAAATAAATATTTACTGACAAGAAATTAGCACGATAGTTGCGCAATTGACCTGCGGTCAAATGAGGGCTCGTAAAGTTGTCCTGGCGCGGAAAATTTACACGAAATACTCACTGTTGTAGTCGAGAACGAGTTCGTTGAAGTTCCTGCCGCTGGGCTCCTGGCCAACGTACTCGTGCACCGTCTCCTGGCCGAGCTTCTCCAGCGCGATGGCGTACGTCAGAGGTTTGCTGCAACTCTGCAGCGTGAAGGGAATATTGACATCCCCGATCCCGAATCTCTGGCCGTCGATCGTGCAGATGCTGACGCCCCAGTAATCGGGATTGACCCTCGCCAGCTGGGGAATATAGCTGGCCACCTTGCCATCCATGTTGCTCTTGCATCGCCAGTAGATCTCCTCGATGTCTTTGCAGAAACCTTGGAAGTCCGGAATGACGAACTGGTGTCTAAACGCTCTGGCAATTAGCACAATATTCTCAGCCACCACTCTGCAAATATTATGAAGAAATAGGCTTATCAGCAGGTCAATTATCACCACCATGATTTTCCCTCAGCTCAGGGAAAACACATCGTTTCCTTACGCTTTGAATGTGTCGCGATTCAAGTTCTGCGTTTCCGGCGAACCGCCTTCGAAATTCGCCAAGCGATGGACTTTGCGCAAATTCTCCATCATTTCGCTGATTCGAGGATCATTCATGCGAATGCCAAATGTTCGCAATGCCGCCAGGAATTTTCCCACAGGCAGCATTCCCGTCTCTTCCTGCCTGAACATGTCAAACAGGACATCTTCTGTGTTCTTCTGCTCTGTGTCGCGATGGCTGAAACGGGAGGAAATCATTGTGATCAATTTGTGATACTAAATGTGCAACACTTGGAAGATATTTCATCATCAGAAATTGATCAACTCATTGAGTTAATTTAGCAAAATTGATAGACCGCAATAGAGAATAAAAGAAGTTTTTGACCTCAAAACGTATGTAGGATTTAGCAAAATTAATTTTTTTTCTACTATCTTAACTCAATTTAGATAAGACTTTCACTTTTCCCGCCAATAAAATCTTATCAAATACTTTATCAATGAATTGGGAATTCACAGTAGCGATCACACCACGCGCTTTTCCACTGGGAAAAACTTCACTTCTTTCACTGTTCACTTCATTGTTTTTAATCGCAGCATTTTTATGCTTTGCCGCCTTTTGCTTATCAGTGTTAAATTCACATGTGAAAAAGTGTGTTTCCAAGTGAAAACTTATCAGTTGCACATGAATCACATTTCTTTAGCGCAGGGAAGTAAATTCCTGGCTTATTTGCAAATTGATAAATCACGTTGGCGAAACACCTCCAAAACTTTCCACAACACTGCCGGCATTTTACGTAATAATAGAATAGAAATACCTGAGGAATCTCGCGAGGAGCTTAACAAAGTTCTCCTTCTGCAGTGGCGTGGGCTTATCATTATTATTACTCTCCTGATGGAAACCGTTCTCCATTTCTCCGGATATCGAATCACTCGCACGAGAAGGCTTGTCAAGTGGACTTGATTGAGTGGCGGAGAAATGTGTGTGACCGAAGCACTGAAAATTGAAAAGACACTGGGATTTTTCGGAGAGCCCCAGTGTCTTTTTATAGATTCCACAGAGAGTGCTCGTGTTAGTGTCATAATTAATTGGAAAAACACAGACTGAGCAGATTTGCTTTGCATATTATATGTGTTTGGCTTTTGTTGGGGGAAAAATAGACTCAAATTGTTGTTGACGAAGTGGTGTTGTTGCTCTTTTTTCTCAACAACCATTCTGGCCAATCTCGCTTAAGTGCCGCGCACAGTGGCAAAAATAGGGATGGACATGGGACCTTATCGCCGCACATTTATTGAATTAATTGACAAAGTTCGTGAACTTGTCGCAAAGGAGTGACAAAAAAATGATCTAGCGACGCATGGGATGGCAATTAGACAAGTCGCAGCTCTGAGACCATGACCATGAGTCTCTCGCGCGTAATCAGTGATGACGAGTGAGCAGCTTTATCGCCGGATTGGTTGGATTTATTTACACACCTCCGCGACATTCTTCATCGTCACGAGAGAATCATAAAAACCTAGGAATTTCAGATCTTTTCCTCACCTCTTGCCATTCTCCTCGATGTCGTAAAACGCCACACGCCGACTATCGATTTTGGGCGTTTCGGGGGTGACTTCCGTGTTTCGCGATGTCTACAATGTAGAGAGAGAAAAAAGGCCTCATTCTCTGTGATAATTAATTGCTGATGGCTTGTGCTGAACTTGAGTTTACACAGGCCGAGCCATTGAGATGAAAGTTGGCAAAAAGCCCAAGATCATCACTGAATAAACCTGTGACTCAATCATCTCCATGGCGGAAGAAAAAAACTGTCTCAGTGTTTACTCATGGCGTGATAACACAATTATATCACACTAATTTTTTGCCAAAACACACCCAAACACCTCACCTGTCGCACTGACATGTGAAACGCGGCAATGGATGTGGTTTCAGGGCGGAAAATCGCCCCATTTCTCCCTATATGCCATCCACATCGCAGTGGAGGCGCCTGGTTGGGGGTGAAACTCCTCCGACAAGCAGGTGAAATTGCCAGAAATCTCACCAATGCAGCACCACTTCTCATCGCACCGATTATCTGAACACGCACGCACTATTCCTGCTACTTTTCACGCACACTGCACAGCGAAAAAGTGAGCGTGATTAGGGAGATTAGGTGGATTTTTCCTCGCGGTGGAACACCTCCGAAATTCTGCGTGAAACTGATGGCGAGTGGCGAATAAAAGTCGACTGAGAGTGAGTTGATATTTTGGGGCCATTGAGTGTGTGAGTGAGAGAATTTCCCGCACAGGGAGACTCTGAAGAAAATGCACGGAGAGTGAGAGCGAGATAAGGGAAAGCTGATTATGCACTGAGAGAAATTTGCTGATGGATTGTCTTCAATGTTCTGGGATTTGGTGTGACTGCACCTTTACCTTCCTGGCCATCAATCGATTCGCCTGTGCGCGGCTCAGTGCGCCGGCGCCAGAGCTGGCTGATCGGCGGAGGGCTTCATTAACAACATTCATTCATTCAAGAGGTGTCTCTCCACACTCTCGCATGCCCACCCACGCGCCTCGAGCCCATCCGAAGCCGTCCTAGGCCATCCACAACCCACGTCAGTGTCCACCGATTGCGTGTCGCGAGTGGTTGGTTCACTTCCTGCGGAGCTGCGGGCTAGGAGAGAAGCTCTGCTGTACTTCCCACAAAAGTGTGTGTGCGAGAGTCGCCCATGGAGGGCAGATATTGATTTTTCCGCCAGTCGCGGCGGAACACTCGCAACATAATGGCGGGCATGAAAATCCGTGTGGAAAAATGTGGTGCAAATTAGTGTGTGAAGTGACTCTGGTGGTGCTGGGACTGGGATACGTGTCTGCTGCAGTCAGCCAGCCGGACTTCTTTCCAGGTGCGATTAATCTCCGCACGTCACTCCTCAATTGGAGCTTTTTCAGGCGTGCATGTGGTTGCGAAGGGTGGGAATTCTGAGGCGTAGATGTGCGAAAAGTGATCCTCATGGGATGGGAAATCCACCACTGTGTCTCCCTGATCAACTGGAGTCAATTGGTGTCCGCGACCTCCGGAGAGAGAGTTGCTGGGGCGACTCCTCATGGCCCGAAACTTTCCATATGTTTCGCTCAAAAGTGACTAAAAGAGTGAATTAATTGCTCGCTATCGCCAGCAAGTGGGTAAACAATAGGCGATAGTTGTAAAACTACAGTGAATTCCCACCGTCGACCCATATTTTACCGATGGTATTTACTGGGTGTAAAATCGCACTCCAGCAGACGGTGAAGAAGCGCCCGTTCTTTGTCTCTCTGCGTGATGGACTCACACTCTCTTATTGGGTCCCTTTTACGATCGTCAGAGACCTCGAGGGTGTCGTACGCAGTGCCATTAGAGCACCTCTAGCACACAATAAAATGCAAATATTATTCCTACCCTCTGGATAGCCCAGAGAGTGCCTCAATCATGCCTCTTGCAGAACACTTCGAGGCACCCAGAAAGTGTCGTTATGGCGAGAATTATACTGCCAAGGAAATCAATCAAACCCGAGGAAACTGATTCAATACGCCATCCATATGGTGATAAAATATTTATTTCTATTAACAACAAATACAGCCACACCATGGCAGGATGTGGAAATGTAATTATGTGTACATGCTGAGTGAAAATCCTGAAAAGTATCTCTAAACTTCCTCTCAGATTCACCTCGCAATTTCCCGCAAATTTGCACAATATTGATCCGGTTTGGGAAACGGATTTGGAATTTATGAAATTGAGGGATGGCCTAAGAGCCTTACAAATTCACTTCGTTGACTCCTTGACAAAAAACCCAACACAATTACTCAAAGAGCCTCAGTGGGAATCCTTTTATAATGTCACCGAGAAATATTAAAATTCTCTGCACATCCTTTTCTTGACAAATCGATATTCATACCCAATGAAGCGCGAACATTTAATTAAATATCATTGGAGATTCATTGAATTACTTGGGAAGCAAATCACTGGCACTGATGAGGCTTTTTAATTAATGATTGCACGACGCTGGATGACATTATGGTTGAGGGATTAATTGAATTTTGCTCATTTTTCTGCACGAGGCACTCAAAGTCTGCCCTTTTCCTCAACTTAAATATCACACTGATTGAGCTATTTTCATTATTATGCCTGAAAAGGCGCTGTTGCTTCCAATTTTCTATAAATAGGACATCCTTATTTACCAAACTTTTCCCTCTATCACAAGCTCTATCACATCAGGCTGGCACTTGTGGTTGAGGGTAGTTTTCTTTGCTCCCGCTGTGGCCCCATAAAATAGCTATATATTTCATCAACGGAAGGTTGAAGCAAGTTTGAAAACAGTCACATAAATCTGGCAGAGAGAGAGAGGTGAAATTTTTATGGAAATTATTCTAAATAGTGGTCGTTTTCCATTTCCAGGTCTTCGCAGAGCGCCCAGCACCAAAATAACTTCAAATGCATGTAAGAGAGAGGGATGATTTTGTATGTGCGGGGGTGGAAACCAACCACAATTTATTGATTTGGGGGAGCACATTTAAATAAGGCAGAGTCTGTGGTTCCCAAAATAATTCTCTGATGTTGACATTTCTTGCCAGACGATGAGAACTACCTTGCTCAAATACTGAACTTCATCGAGGAGCAGGCGCGGCGCAGATTCCAGCAGAAGGTCGTGGAGTACCAGCTGGACCAGTCCGGGGACAACAGACTGCCGCTGCTGCAGAAGATAGCGCGGCAGGACTTCACATATCAGTTGCCCAAGATGCATGAGAACATCCATCACGGCGAGCCCTACATGTTCGCCGTGGGTCCCAACGATCCGCGCTTCTACAACGCAGAGAAGGATCCCAGCCTGGTGGAGGATGATGACGATGATTCCCAGGAGGAGCCGCTCATGGAGGAGTTCCCCTACTATCGCATCAGGGGGCCCATCAATGTCAACCCCAAACTCAAAATCAAGACCATCAACAATCCCGACGCCAGCAATGAGGCGGTGTCCAGGGAGATGCAGGGATTGCTGCAGAAGCTGAGCCACGGCATGCCCAACGGCGGCAGTGTGCTGGACGCCAATCTCCTGGCCAGACACGATGTCATCCAGAAGCCGATGGACATCGAGGCGCCCGTGGGGATGTACGTTGTGGCGCTGGTGGCTGGAGTCAGCGCTGCCATCACAGTCGGCCTCCTTGCCGTCGCCATCGGCTGGTACACGTAAGTTTGCCCTGTAATATGGGAGTGTCTTCTCACACCATCGCAACACAGACATTCCGAGAATTCCGCCGAGAAAGCGTCTGTGCTTATACGAATTCCAAGAATGCATTCCTGTGTGCGCTCATCTATGATGTTTCCTTTGAAGATGTGCCTCAAGGAGGTATGATTTTCCTTTTGGTGGAAACTTCTCTGTCAAAGTCAATTGCAGAAAAAGAATTCTCCCAAGAGCATTTTTGCAGTCTTTCATCTACTTCCTGAAAGAGTTCAAAGCTCTCACATGTACCAAAAATAGACGATAAAGATATGACGCGTGATTGATAGACAAGATTAGATTTTTTCCATTAAACACTTACGGTTTATGCGCTGTGATGTGAAATTCCAGCTGCTAAAAGTAAAAGAGTATAGAGTGCTGAGCAATATCCTTTGTGTGTTTTCCAGTTTCTACAAGAAGGCCAAGGCGGCAGCCGATGTGGAGTATCCTGCCTATGGAGTGACTGGGCCCAACAAGGAGATCTCGCCATCCGGAGATCGCCGCCTCGCTCAGAGTGCTCAAATGTACCACTATCAACACCAGAAGCAGCAGATAATTGCCATGGAGAACAGCCTAAACGGGGAGAGGAATGGATCCTTGTCCGATGTGAACAGCGACGATGAGAATGAGGAGGGAGACTACACAGTGTACGAGTGCCCAGGATTGGCTCCTGTAAGTGTCCTGGAGCAGCGCCAGCAAATGCAGGGATTAATTGATGTTTGCTTTTCCCCTCCCAGACTGGCGAGATGGAGGTGAAGAATCCACTCTTCTTCGACGATCCAACACCAGCCACGCCGGGCAATGTGACTGTGGTGCAGCAGAGCAAGCCTGATCCGGATTCCAAGACACCAAAATCAAAGGAATAAAATTTCCACTGTACGTGCAGGCTTGAACGGAGGTGAAAATTAACATTTTAACATTGACTTTATGTTCATACGTAGATTCCTTTGACACTTTGCCATGTCTTCAGACTCTCTGTAAGACTGATATCTCAATTCATTGGTCTCTAAACCAGTCAATTTGTATGACCTAAATATCAAAATTTTTCTCTAATAATCTAGAAGAGTTGTCTTACAGATTCATTTAAAAAAAAAGAGATGATTTCTTATTTAAACAGTGAGAAGAGACAAGAAATCATGTAACATCTTAGCGGAAGGATAAATTAAACTTAACACACAACATAAAAAATGAATGTAAAACCCTATAAAACTGAACAATTTATATATATATTAACTTAAAGGACATATTATTCCTCAAAAAAGAACAATTGTAAATGTTGTGGAATGTGAAGAATATATTGACTGTTAATTGTTGGATGGAACTAATAACAATACTAAGTGTATATAAATTGAAGATGGATCTAATCCAGATGGAAACATTACCAATTTTGTAGTGTTGTAACAAAAAGAAACCAGAAAAAAAGCAGCTCAGAAATCTTAAAGAAAAACGCCCCATTTCAACGTGAATGTCCAGCATTTTCCCTTGACTTTTAACCGAGCACAAATTTGTCACCAGAGAGAAAGATTAAAGAAAGCATATTAATGAATAATCATCTTATGATTCTCGCAAGTAAAAGGCGAGAAAATATTGATGGATAAGCCCACTCTTGAAGTACTTAACAATTTATTGTCAAATTAAGAGAATGCTATTAACTAAAATTAAAACATATAGAAAAAAAGAGAACCTTATATAATCTCATGTCTCTAAAAGGTAGTTTGATAAAAAAAAACGGAAGGAATGAAAAGGGTGAATTTTGATGGCAATGAAGCTTGACTTTTGGCATGTTTGGAATGCTTTTAAGGAGAAATGATGCGAATGATCTAAATTTGGACAGGGATGTGGACTTATGCCAGTATAAATTGAGATAAATTTATAAAAGAAAATGAAGCGTATATTTAGAGAGAAGAGTAAACTGAAATAAACAGCATTATATTCCACAAGATGCCAAATCTTTTTATTGTCTTTGTGCCAAACTTACCTTCATCTCCTGGACTCATTTGCTTGTTCTTTCTTGTGCCTCTTTGATGATTGGAAAAAAAATTGTGGTTTTTGCATTTTTATTCAATTTATTGTAGGCCAAATAACTACAAAAGAGTCCCGTAATAGAAAAATTACAATTACATCATTTTAATTAGTTATTGTTTATGCATTTATCTCCCAAAAAATTCTATGCACGACTGTATTTCAGTAATTAGTTCTTGTATACTTAGCAAAATATACTTTGCTTTGCATATTTAGGATCATCCGTCAAACTATTATCATTTATTGTTATCATCCAACATTATTGTATTTATGCGAAGTGGTTTTGAGCCAGGATTTATTAGAATTATCTTACTGCGCGTCTCCATGTGACTAAATCTCCTTCTGCTGACGCCTCTTCAATTCTAGGTATTCTTAGTTATGTTTAGTTAAGTTTTATGTTGTTTGATTGAGAGTAGCACTTTAGTGAGGAAAGAATTTGCTGAGGTGGAATGGAAATTATCACAAGAGTGTGCAATTATAGTGTTTTGTGGTTATTCATTTAAGCTCGCTGAACCCGTAGTGTGTTGCGTAAATTAGTAGAGTGGCTTGGTGGGTGATTTAGTCATAAGATTCAACATGATATGTCTGCAAGAAATAAATTTGCGCTATTTCGGATGGTTAAACTAAAGGGGATAAGACAGAACAAAACTACCAGGCTACGATTTAGGTGAAAATGAGTAAAATCCACAATCAATCAAACAAGTTATTGTTGATTAGGGTTTGTCCGACTTTGGCTAAATCTTTTTTTCATTCATGATCTCTAAGGACTAATCTAGTTGTTATTGGACTACAGTTCTAGTGGATGGAAATGTCTACTTGTTTAAGGTAATTAAGTAAATTATTTTCTGTTTTTCCTTTCTTCTCTTGCATAAAGTATACAAATTTGGGGTTAATTTAACTCTCTTTTCCTAATAACTATTGATGAGAGATTGTTTTTTTTTTGCCTAAGATTTTCTCCATTATCAAAAGAATGCATCTGACTAAAGACCACTATAGACTAGAATGTTTACTTGCTTTCCTTAAACCACCTTCTAGATTAGAGAACTACAGTAAATTTAGTAGTGATTAGAAAGTATATTCTTAAATCGATATTTTAGCAGAAGTCATCTCTAGGAGAAGTTTTTTCTTTATATTAAAAAGTTTTGAATGCTTGGAATTTGTTTCTCCTGAGAAACTCCACAATTATTTTCCATTACAAAAGTTGAAGTTTTTGCACAAATTTTTATCAAAAAATCAACAATAAACAATTTTTCTAACGGAGTTCAATTCAACTAAAAGAGCTCTTTATCAGTTTCGACATAACATTCAATACTCATTCAAAGAGGATGGAAAATTTACCATGTTTTCAGGGGGTTGGGAAGGGTTAAAGGAGGACCTTCTCCTCGGGATCATTGAGACCACACAACTCTATGCTCTGATCCTCGAGGCTCCTCTTCAGATTCTCAATCGTGTGCAAGATTAGCTGTCGCTTCTGACTGTTGTCCGCATCGGACTTCTCCTCTTCCGGATCTATCACTTTGGCTTTGGCTTCTGGGATGGTCTCTGGGGGCGCTGCTGTCACTCCCTGGCGCTCCTTCCGGAGCAGCGAGATTTTATGCAAAAGGGCTTTCTTGGGGATTTCTGCACGACAAAAGCAATCATCAGTGAAGGAATTCTTCATCTCGCTTCCGTACTCACCGGACTCCATGTCGAGACTCTTCTGGATCTTGTCGTAAGAAGCACTCCCAGTGTAAATCTTCCTCTTGAGCGGTTCACTCTGAGGACAGTAGGCAATCTCATTCCGATGGCCAATGTCCACAGATCTGAACGACATGAGTGGAGGCTTTTCTCTGCCATTCACCATCACGTTCTTATTCACGTGATCCAGCTTACTTTTAATCCCCTTCTTCGCAACACCTTCGCAATTCCCGTTCATCTCCTTCCTCGTGGAATTGTCATCAGTGTCAGAGTCTGAGTCGATGGACACCCTGTTCATCTGGGCTGATCTCATCCGCCGTCGGACAGGAGTTGGAGATCTTGGCGGACTAAAAATCTGCTTCGCAGTAATCTTAGGCGGTTGCTTAACTTCAGTCGGCTCTGGAAGATTCTTACGCCTCAATATCTCAGTTGGCGACACATTTTGCTGAATAAAATTCGTAATGTGCGTCTTCCTGGGCGAGAATCTGCACGATTTCGGACTATTCGGGGCCGAAGCTGTCTCATAGCGTAAAATCTCCAGTCTCTTGTTAACCACAATATTTTCCACTTGATTCTCCAGACAGTTGCTCTTCACTGTCTCTCTCTTGATGTCCGCCTCGCAATTCCTCAACATCTCCACTCTCTTGTTCGGCGGCGGATTGCAGATTCGCCTCGAGGGACTCGGAGTTGGTGTCTCTCGAAGTCCATTGCTCTTCATGGATACTAAGATAGTTTCCGCCTCGTGGATCAATTGCTTGTACTTCACGTCCGCCTCCAAATCCGCCTTGATCAGTGCCTTCTCGCTCTCAGCAATGGTCAGGAAGCGACTCCTGACTGAATGGATTTCCGTGAAAGTTAAGGAATTCGATCGATTGGAGAGCGGAGAAATTTCCCGTCTGAAACGATAAATCTTCCATCAGCCAAGAATGTTCACGGGGAAAAACACCCTCTGGAAAAATAACTCACGCTTTCCTCTCTTCCGATTGATTTCGTCGGAGACACACTGGCGTTCCACCCACACTCCGGCAACCCCTTGGCGCTATGATGGGCGCCGACTTGAGACTCGAGCTGTGACTGTGGTTGCGATCCGTGCTCTTCTTCCGCGTCCTCACGAAGCGCTTCCGCCGCTTGGACGTGCTGTCGTCGAGATGCTTGTGACTGCGTCGCACTTTGGAGCTCCTCTTCTCCTGCTGGAACGAGTGATATGAGCAACTTCCTGTGTTGCGCGCCTGATCCTTGTCTGCAATCTCCTGAATTGAACCCGTGTCGATGAAGTCAATCTCGAGCAATTCATCTGTATCACACTCATCGCCAGCATCCTGACCAGTGTCCAAGTCCGATGCACAGCAGTCCGTTGGATCAGAATCACTGTGGATATTTCATTTCAGAGTGTAATTGAATTTCATCACCCAATTTTGAGTGTAATGAAAAGAATCCCTCGGTCAATTTCACAGCCAGTGAAGCCCCTCGACTGTATTCAGTTTGAAAACTTCTTGATTGATGGATTCAGTGCCACCCCAACAATAGAAACACCATCAAAGTAATTTCAAAGTAGTCTCAGAATAAATGGTTTTTTTTCCTCTTCTTCTCACTTCTACGCGTGCCAAATGCTGAATTTATGATAAAAAATGTCTTAAGATAATTTCATCCGGCGGCGAAGAAGCAGATTGAGAAGAAAAATCGCATAATTCGCGAAACAAATTTGCAGGTTTAAAACTCTCCCCATCTAAATTGTCTTGTGAATAATTAACAATTTAAGCGTCGGCAGATTACCTGAGAATGTCTGTTTCCTTCTCGTACACGTAGCTCTCGTCGAATTTCCCCATCATCTCATTGAGGGTGGCATCTTCATCACTCTCACCGCCGCCATTCTGGGTGGAGACACTCCTCACGCCATTGGCGTCACACCTCGCCAGCTCAGCCCGCCTCCGGCGGATGGTATTTGGCGAGAAGGTCTTCCGACTCACCTCAATCTCCGTGGAGGAACTCGAGTCGCTCTCAGATGAGTCAATTGGATTCCTGGGAAACAGTGAGAAAATTCTGTGAGGAACAATTCCCGATGTCAATTGTCTCACCAACTCACTTGTTCTTGTCGGACTTTTCATCAGTTCCAACATCGCTGGCGCTGGATTTGACACCGGATGATGTGGAACTATTATCTCGATCGATGCGATGATTGAGAAAGTTTGAAGTGTGCACATTGGCAGCAGTCTCGAGTTGGCATGCAGTGGAAAACCAGGGATTTGTCCTTATCCGGCAACGCTGACGAGGCGATGGAGCTGCAAAACACAGCCAAATGAGTCTCTGCCGCAATCAAAATTAAAAACTTGCACTTACATTCAATCCCATGCACCGTGAGGTTCTTCTGCAGTGGAATTGGACTGGTGCCAGAGAGAATAGGAGCAGCTGGGAGACTGTTGCGGAGGAGATAATTAGTCTGATTGCCAACAGAGCGACTGACCGCAGGAGCACTTCTGTCCAGATGGCAACTCTCAGTGCGACGATGATTGCCCACCTACGAGACAACACACACACGGATCAATTTTTAACCACTGAGGCGTGAATCAATCAAATGCAATCTCTGATCCCACCTCATTCCGGCTCGTAAATCACATTACAGTCCGAGTGAATTATGGGTCGAGATAGCAGGACAAAGAGTGGCCAAGATAGAGGGTGAATTTATGGGTTGAATGTTGGGGGGGAAAAGGTGAGACTCGAGAGTGGCAATGAACATTTAAGGATTTTTCCTAATTGCACACCTCAAGTGCAATAAGAGGATTACAATTGTCATAATTTGTCTGGGAAGACGGGTTTTCCTGTAATTGCACGTGCGGCAATTTTCCGCATGAAAACCCAACGAGGAAGTGTAATTGGAGTCAAAGATCCACTACAGTTCAGTTCCACTTTAAGAGGTTCCAGGTGTGAAATCCAATAAGGAAAAATTGCAGCTGAACATGTTCAATTTTATTCTACGCCACTGGCTGTGCAGACAAATTAAATGTGTGATTTTGGGATCAATTGAAGAATAACTCCCTTCTTGATTGCTAATTGAGTTACTGGCTGTTTTTGCAGATGCTCCTTAATTGCTTGGAAGGAGAGATTTGTGATTGATGGGATTTTCGGAGGAAAGTTCTCAAAGCGAAAAATTATTGCCACAATCCCTCGAGGTGCATATTTTCTGCGAGAGAGAGCGAAAAACTTTTACAGTTCCATCCAAAGTGCACGGGAAAAGTTCCTGTACACATACCTTTAATCATTTTTCATCTGCAGTGTCATTTTGAGGGTGTTTTATTGTGGGGATGGGATAGAAATTCATTATACATGAAAAATCTAAAAGTTGTATTGTCAGTTTTCAAGCAGTCAATTGGAATTTTCTGCACGGATGAGCACAACATGATATAGCCGGGAAAATAAACGAGTAATTCTATCAGTGGGAGTTGTAGGTTTGATTGAATATATGTTACTTTTCACCCTTTTGACTGAGGCTATAGCAAAGTATGCAGTGTGCGCGGAAAGGTGGGCAACCGACAAGTGTTTTCCAGCATAAACTTGCATAAATTGAAAATAAATTGATATTTTCCGTGGCAAAATAAATAGCGGGGAGTCCGCAGGATGAAAATTCATAGGAGAATATGAGATGGGGTAATTGAATAAAAATACCCCAAAGAGCGGAACTTTTGATGATTGGGAGTAAAAGTTTTAATGACTCAGTGCCGCGGTGTTGTGCTATTTTCCGGGCACAGTCCGTGGAATTCCATCGTCACTTTCCTCAAATATATCGATTGCTAATATCTCAATGGGGCGAGAAAGGGGAAAAAGTACTCACCACTGACTCGCATCCGCTGCTATTGCCGCCGCCTTCATCAATCTTGTTGAGACCGCTGTATTTATATCGATTGGACTCGATCAGCATGCCATTGGCCCCTTTGGGGAAGTAGTGGGTTCCCGTTCGCATATTGATGTAGTACTCTGGCGTATAGGAGGCTCCTGGGTAGGCAAACAGAGAGGAGAAAGATGAAAGAAGAACAGGCGAGAATTGGACTGGAGATGTGGGAAGTCCTTCTGCACGAAATATTAATAATCCCCCCAAGAGAGCATTGGCAGTGCCATCAAATTGGTTCTACATTTTCTCATCGGATTAAGAGATTTATACATTGATGTCGAAGAGATGCTCTGCGATAGGCAAAAGATGGGACCAAGAGTGGAAATATTTCTCTGTCACTACGTTGAATACCGGATGAGTTTGTTTTTTTTTTCTTTCCATGAAAACCTCTTAGGCTTATCTCCTTTCTTCAAATATTAATTCAACATCGCAGTTATATTTGCACGATCTCTGGGCACAAGGAGTCACGAGATTACCATAAAAGTGCCATGAATTTTTTATTTCATCGACTCCTTTTGAATAAATACAAATTAAAAGTGTGTCCCTAGACGAATTTTCAACTCAAATCGTTAAAATAAATCCCGGTTTCTATTCTTCCCGGGAAAAGTTAAATTGCATTACATTTGCATTGGACGGCGAGTGTCCGTAATCAAAAATGCCAATGGGATTTGCGCATTGTAGCATTTCTTCATCCTAAACTCTAGAGTCTACCGGCATTGAATAATTAAATCTAAGGGAAATAATTGATAGCGAAATATGTAGCTAATTTACCACTCAATCGCATATCAATTTCAATTATCCGACATTGCAGAGTGTCGACGGGAAGTCAGGAGAGGCAATAATTGAACTTGATTGATGGACTAAAGATGGTGGATTTTCATGAAATTGACCTCATCCGTGATCAATACTGTGGAAAATGACCCAAATTAATACCGATTCGTGCTGCAATCTCTAATTTTCTGCTTCTTCGTCATTTTAATGTCATGTCCAATTGTAATTCAATCAAGTGACACAAAGTTACATTTCCTATTTTGATGGTTTTATACAGATTGATAGCTAATTTCGTTCGGACGCATTTCTCACGGTTGTAGATCTTAATTTAGCTCGGTTAATCCCAAAATTAGGCACATCTGTCTCAAGTTCAAAGACCCGGAAGTAACGACAGGCATTAAATTGTTGCCAATTCTAATCTTGAGCCTGCGAGACACACGGTGATATTTCTCCAAAAACTTTTCCCATTAGGGCGTGACAAGGAGGGCGACTTACCTGGCGATGTGCCGTCGGTGGAGTAGCCAGTGGAGTAGGCACTTTCGGGTGAGGAGAGGCTATTTATGACGTGCGCCAGGTGATTGGCCGGAGTGGGCATGAGGCTCGAGCTGCACCTCTGCTGATTCATCCTCAATATGTTCCTGTTCACCTCCACGATGGTCCCCTTGAGTCCTCCGGCGCTCAGCATGGCGCCGCTGAAGGGCCCATTCTTGGGGAGACTCTTCACCGTGGCTCCCCTGAGACAAGTCTCAAGGTGAACATTGGCATTAGCCGTGTCGTACCTGTCGAGCGGCATGTCGTCACTCCTCCGCGGCAGGATCTTCCCATAGCGACCCTCCTCGTCGGGATTTGCATAACAACCGTTGGGATACACCTCCAAATCTGTGCTCTTGCCGACGTTCTCCTTGTCCGTGAGGCGGCCCTTGAAGCGCTCAATTGACTTCCGATGGAAAGCCGGCGCCTCTCCGTTCGCCGACGCCCCGGATGAGGCCGAGGAGGTGGAGAAGGACATGGTGGCGAAGGGCGACGTGGAGGAGACGAAGGACAGATTGGCGGCAATTGTGGATCTCCTGGACTCAAGCTCGGGCACGTTGGTGCGGTGTTTGCAGAAGGGATTCGACGGTGCCGGCACAGGTGATGGCACAACTCTTCCCATGCTCTTCTCGTCCACACTCTTGGAGTATGTCGATGGTGGGGCGCTTTTGCGTGGCATATTTCTGGGTGATGAGCTCGATTTGACCATCTGACGATATCCAAAATGATCTGAATGCGGTGACATGGCTACTTCCTGTGGAGATTGCCAGCCCACACGACTTGTTGCCTGGTTTTTGCCGCCGCGGCCCAAGAAATAAGGATAAAATATCAGTTAATGTGGCGGAAAAACGAGGATACGATAAGGCAGTAGAAAAAACTTTCAATTACATCTCATTCCCTGGCGGCTGGAGGAAAATCCTCCTTCCCAAAACTTGTATTTTGTCCACCAACCCTCCGACAAAAAAGTCGCATTTCATCCCATCCAATATATGAAAACTTTCAGTTGTAACACATCTTTCACGGTTCGCCAGTATTTTTGTCCCACCGAAACTTTCTCCAGTGGGCGGGAGAAGCAATAAAACTTTTTCATATGGCGGAAATTAATATTTGAAATGAGAAGTGGTGGAAACACAAGCGGGAATGCGCGTCTTTTGCCGAACAATCAGCCTGAGTGGAGAGGACTTGAGTAAACACAGACCATGATGGAAATTGCTCACAGAGGCGAAAACAAATCCCTTAAAACCATGAGAAACTCCATCATCCACTCAGTTTTAGAGCTCCTCCACGGCCTTTTGGTAAACACAACTATTTCCCAATTGCTCCCCGGGCGCGTCATCAGAAGGACAAACAATCTCTGCGGCGGTTTGAGGAAAATCACCAAAACAAGCGCTTCCAAATAAATCAATTATTCTCAGACAAAACACTGGGTAGTTTTCCGCATTTATGCATTATTCAGAAGAACACTAAGCGATGCTCTCTTCAACATTGTATTCTTCTTTAATAGAATCTCTCGGCTTTATTGGTATATGAAAATTTTATGTGGAAATTCGTTTACAACACAAGGCAAATTCATTCTCTCGCAGCTGTAAAATGAAATTCTGCACAGATTTTCTTTGTATTCATAATGAATCTTCTTTATGTAATTATGATAAAATGTGCAGACAAACAGAGTCCTTTATCCTGACAATTTGTTGTTAATATTCTACGTGACAATAGCTTTTTAATTTGCCAAAAAAACACGTCACAAATCTTCAAATAATAAATATTTCTAAACTTTTCATGTCACATTTGAAATTTGGCTGAAGGTATATTTATTATGTCCCCCAAAATATCTCTCGTAAAAATATGCAAAACGTGTACCTTCTCTAAATTAGGGAACTTCTCTCACATTTGTTTGTTTTAGGGGAGAAATTCTCTCTCTTGTCAAGATGCTTTTCCCGGGTTTTTCGCTTCTCAGCAGAAACTGAGAAATTTTACACACATTTCCATCAACTCAGTGTCACTGTATTATTTAGCATATTGTGCACTATAGTTTGAAGGATTCACTGACAATCAACAAATCCTCGCACTTTACATATAAATTTCGCATTTGCCGCTGAAGGTATTGTCTGGGATTGTCTATCTTTGTCCTGCCTGAATAATTTCTATTATTCACCCAAAGTCACACCATTTGGCGACAGTCTCGAGGGCCCATTTTGTGCGACACGACAGGGTCTTAGAGAAGGATGTAAATTGGCTCCTCCCTTGGATATCTGCACGTCTTCCCTTGAGATTAAAATTAAACTTTAAACAAGGAGAATTTTCCATCTTTCTGCATGACACTCCGTCATTTCATTGTGTCCTCGGGACCACCCCAAGAAGATATGTGTGTAAATGCCATACCAACAAAGAAGTCCAAAACATTTGTCCTCACGGAGATAAAAGTGGGATAAAAGCGACCAAGCGGGAGACTTTTCGGTGGGGCGAGTTATCAAGAGACGATAAGATTAAGTTGCTTGCAAACTTACATGGTTCTGAATTGGGGAGACTTCTCGTCGTCTTGCTGGACTGCCAATGCTTGGATCTGCCTGATGGTGTGAGCTTTTCTTCGTGTGTCCATTTGGGGTGTTTGTCGCAGCCAAATTGCCACTGGACGTTTGCGTGGGAGACAAAAAAAAATACAGAAACACCATTTCAGGGATATTTTGTTGCCATAAAAATATATAACAAAAAAAAAGATCCTTTTCTCCTTCTCACCCTGTTGAGGTCCTAAAGCTCTGGGTGAATCAAACTTAAGCGAACGATCAAGACCAAGAGATAAATTATGAGCTTTTCTCATGGGATAACGCATTCTCAGTCGTGCAAGTTTTCCACCCCACAAACCCACACTCTCAGATCTGTGGGGTGAGGGTGAGAAATTTCATATCCGTGTAGCACGTAATGTGTGGAGGGTGTTGGGGGGGGAAAAAATGAACATGTTGCGATAAGAAAGTGGGAAATGCTCAACGAGACCACGTTTCGCAAGGCGGAGAAAGAATGAGAGGTGAAAATTTAGGATTTTATTAATATTTGATGGGCATACAAAGTGTTCAGTCTCTGTATACATATTCAATTCCACTTTCGTGGGTGTTTGAGTGTCGGCAAACTTTTGGGGATGATTGGAGATTGAGACGTCTTGAATTAATTTAAGAGATTCATTAATTTTTTATCTTTAACATCAAAAAAATTACACTTCTTCCCATTTCGCGTGGCTCAAAAACTCCACAATTTGAGTGACACACAAATTTTTAATAATGCTAAAAGCTTGACATTTTCTCAAGACATTCGCGAAAATTGCTACGTCGCATGCTGATGCGGAATTGCAGGAATTACCAGTGAAAAAATTGCCACACCTCATTCACTTGCTAAGCATTTCTTTGCTCAAAGAGCCTCCGCACGCGTTTTCACTGACGTGGAAAATACATAACTCAGCGGGTGGGAAAAGCCGCCCACCCTTCGTATGTATTAAAGTTTTGCCAACACCGTGTAAATTTTTATCTCACATCCTTGACACTTTTGCCTGCCGTGTGTAACAGGAGTAGTAAATTCAGACGGGGAAGTAAGGGTGGGATTTGCTAATGCAGTGTAGGGTGGAATATTTATGGGCACGTTGTGGCAATAAGAATCAAGAAATGCAATTGATGATGGGGTGAATATCCAGTTACGGAAATATTTGCCTCCAAAAGGACAAACTAATAAGTCTAATGCGGTTTGTCACCTCGACAGAGAGAAATCTTGGCAAAGGGAAGAAAAATATGCCCGATGAAAGCAATCGTGTGATTTATTCATAGGCACTCGCTTACCTGTTTCCATTTTTGTTCTTATTTCCCTTCTTCTTCGGTCGTCCAATGTGATTTTCCATCCATGATCGAATTTTGGATCCAAACATTATTCCTCACTCGATTCTCAGTGTCGCACGAACATCTTAAATTCATGAGTGTCTCTCACTGGAGTCACTCCTTGCATTTAACACTGATTTGCAGTGGACGGAAGCTCTCTGGATCCCCAGCCTCACACCATCATCAGCCGAATCACGTCCACGATGGCGTATCTGGAAGATAGAATCAAAGGAAAATCTTCTTTTTATGCCGCGCAAAAACATTTTTCCTATATAAAATGGGGAAAATGGGGATTATGGGGGTATTTCATATGAAAGCCCAAAATTCACAAAAATTCCAATGCACTGCCGACGATACATAAAAGACCACCCACTCCACATCCAATATAATCCCAATATGTAATTTCTTAATGCCACAGTCAGAAACGATACGCCGCAGAAAGTAATATCGCTGTAAAATTTCGCTTCAATGGGCGCCTCTTGAGTATTTTGTGGTTATACTTGTTATTCGATTTTCGTGCTCTTGAAAAACAGCCACAAAAACCATCGGATTTCGCATTGGAATGATAATAGTGAATCGTTCAACGAACCATTTCTTCGTTTTATGTGAAATACATCCGAATATTCAGCGCTCTCTCTCTCTCTTTCTCTCTCTCTTCTTCTGGTCCTCAAGAAGCGCGATGTGCGGAAAATTCGTGCCAATGGAATTATTAATGATTGTTTTGTCTTCACGCGTGCAGACAGTGAAATGGAAAAATTAGCAACACGATGAGTTCATCGGGAATTTTAATCACATTCACATGATTTATGTGAAACAAAGTAAAATCAGTTAGGAAACTAACGAATTCTGGAGGGAAACGTAATAATTCATATAATTTTATAGGCGTAGCTTCTTCACTTCGGCAGGAGGTGAAGTTTGTAAATTTCTCGCTCAAGTGAAAAGTGTTTGTGTCATCTGTTCTGTGGATTGCTTCTTAAACCAATTATCTCTGCCATTCATACACCCATAGCAAGAGTAACACTTTGCCAAGAGATGGGTTTGGCAAGAACACGAGTACAGAGCTGATAACTAATCTAATTATTGAAACCGTAATTGAATGTCTTGTGCACATGGATACATATGTACTTTGGGGCATGCCAAATATAGGGTCTTTCGTTTAGATATAAATTAACTCCCCTTCTTGGTGAATTTGTAATGAAAATCATCGCAGAGGTAGTAAATTGTGGAGACATGGTGCGAGGAGATGAAAAAAGAGATGAAGAATATATTCTTGTTAAACACTTCGGTTCAGGTGAATTAAACTTCCTTTTTTTCCCGGCGATCAAGTGATAATTTAATGAGACCGCCAGAGAAGATAAATCAAGGAGAATTATAATATGTTATTTTCATTAAAATTCACTCCAACCTGCGGTGTTTTGCAACAAAAGATTCCTCCCTGAAGTGCAGTATAATTCCTCCACAGACAAGCAGGATATTAAGAATGGGTGCTGGTGAATTTATGTAGCCAACAGCACCCAAAACACCCGCCGCCGTCAGTTCAAGAAATCGAGCGGCAAGTTTATAGGGGTTGGCAGGAAGTGGAATTTTATAGGCCACAATAACAGAGACACAGCCCGAAGGCGCTCATAGTTCAGATGAAGATAGTAAATCGAAACATTTGGGCGGGTAAATCACAGCGATGTGACTCTCTTATTGCTCCACCATCTGACCAGAATGTCTGCTGGCCATTAGCATCATGGGATTTGCCACCATTTGGCTCCAAAAGTCAACTTCCAGTTAATTCTGCACGCACCCAAAATCGTGATTTCCTGCCACTGCACATCGCTCAGAGCATTAATTCTTGGGGAATAATTTACAACCCTCTTTAGATGCAAATTCCACCTTCAGCGCCCAAATCACAGTCTTGTGCGCCATGGGAAAATGTAATTAAGACAAAATTCTGATCACGATTCTCCACCCGTAAACTTTCCACTTATTTTACTCTCTCTCTGGGAAAATTAACAAGAAAACCTGACGAAAAAACAACTACACACAGCCGGATTTGCAGAAAGAGGACTTTGTGAGTGAGTCAGAAAGGAGAATTAACCATCAGTCCGCCAACATCTTTACCGAATTGCTTTGGCATGCAAAGTAGGGCCAGTGTGGATGTGTTTTAATCATATTGTAGATTTGCGATAAATCCCTCATCATTATTCAAGCATCAGGGAAATGTGGCAGGGCGTCATTTGAAATAGTCATCGGGATGGAATAATGAAGATTGAATGACTCATCCCCAAGGGGAACACCTTTCCAGGAGTTGATGCTACAAATTTGATTAACAATACATTGTAATAGTTCATGTCAGTAGGTCAAATAGAGCTCAGCCAGGGAGTTAACAGTGAATTTACATAAAGATGAGGAGATGAGATGCTTCAAGTTCTCTCCCAACAGCCCTTCATCAATTACTGGCAAACCATTTTCAAGCTCAAATGGAATGCCAATGTTTTGGAAATTCCTGTGGCGGTCCATTGAACCTCAGCTGCATTTTTCACAAGAACCCCACACAAACACAATATCGGAGGCCTAAAATCGACCATTAAGAGTCCCTGGGAAAGGAACAAAGAACCAATTTGTAGGACATAAAAGCGCAATATATTTCCTTTCGAAAAATCCGCAATACAATCATTCTTCACGCCCAACCCCCGGTTTGTGTGTATTTCATGCTGTAACGTGATTTTAATTTCACATCGCTATTTTCTTTATCACCGAAAATTTATTCTGCCATACATCTTGCCACCCTTCGTGGGTTAGAATTTTAATTCCCCTGACAGAGAATGTGTGTTCCTGTGCTATGGAGATTAGATGGGTAAAGTGTATATGTCTTTCTTCACCGAAAAAGGAGAACTTTAGATGGGTTTATTGAAAGAACTTGTGGATATTTGTGTGGTTTTTCTTCCCAATTACCACAACCCGGAGTGAGGCTATTTTATCAGGCAGAAGAATTTAATAATAAAAAGCTATTTCCAACAGAAAATGCTCTATCAAACCTTTTCACTTCGATTTTGGCCAGAATTGAGACTCGATCCCCTCATATAAATTTATTTTCCCTTTCGCTCACATCCAACTGTGGCCAACTGAACAGACTCCTCTTCTTTGACTTATAATTGTGAAATTTATCGAAAGGAACGGAGTTTAGGAGGGACAGCCAAGGGTAAGAAAGAAGTCAAAGGGGCAAAAAAAAAAACTGACAAAGGCGAAGTGAGTGGAAATTGTGTACTATAAAGAAAATTGAACATTTTCTTGGGCCACTTCCAATTTGTCTCTTCATCTCCATTTCTTTGCCTGCCCAAATGACCATGCCAATCCTTGAGCGAGAGATGTGCTGGTGGGCAAACTTTTTTCGGGTTTTTCTGCATTTTGGGGCAAAACGGATGAGAACCAAGGAGAAGAAGGATCAACATTATGCCTCAAGGTGCATTTTTACCAATGGGAAACAGGGACAGAATATAAATTATCTGCTGAGCGATGAAAATGCCCTTTGCTTACTTCTCATTTTCTCCGTATGAAAAATAATAACGTGTCATGAGGAAGCCTTATTACGGACACGTTTCACAACAATCACCATCTTCTGCCATAACGGATCGTTTCGGCCAAAGGAGAGGGCTGTTTTCGCAGATTTTACTTCCAACCTGCCTTCGTCAAAGAAGCTCTCCCCTTTTCTAGCAACTAATCAGCACTTTGTGAAAAGTACAGACTCAAGCTTTCAGCTGGTGAGCTTTCACGTCAAAGCTTCCAGGAAGATTTCCGGGAAAATCCGCTATGTAAATGCCTTTTTCAATGCCCTCGAGGCAAAAAATTACCACATAAACCTCCACACAATGGGTTTGCAATCAACTTGATCCCATTTTCAATTCCAATTTAAACATCAAAGCCTTTGAAGGAATAATCAGGGGTTTAATGAACACCTCGCAGTGAAAATAATCACACCATCCCCCATTTGAACTCAATCATCTAATGTGAATTCGCAGCTTCGAATTGAGAGGTTCTCCGGTGTTTTTTTTTGACAGAAGAAAAACCATCTGTGAAGTGTCCATTTGTCTGTCTCGGGAGTCAATCTGGGTGCGTTAAGTGACTGGATGGTTGGGGTGACTTCCTTCCCGAAATGGGTTTCTCTTTCATCAGCGAAATAGCTCTGGTTTCCTCCCTTCCTCAGGAACCCATTCAGCACACTCCTTTCCCGGCTCTCTCAATGTTTATTCTCACTTTTTACGAGACTTCTCAGCGTGACTTTCAAGGGTGGTGTCGTGAATCCTCCTCACAGGGAGCATATTTGCTCCAAGCAAATATTATAGGAGACGCATTTGAAAGGGAAGATGAGATTCTTAAGATAACTTTATGTACACCTGAATTGGTCATGATATTCTTTAAACTCATAAATATCGAAGGGATTTTCTTCGTGGGTGAAAGATGCACACGATAAATCAAAGAGATTTGCCAGATATTAAAAATCCACCCTCTGCCCAATAGACCATAAAAATAGCCATTGAGCAGAGTATTTTCATTACGGCGCTCGTGGAATTCATCACGAAGTGCACTTCTAAGCAGTAGATCTTCATTACGGGTGCGATGATGGCAATTGTCGCTGCCAGAGTCACGCGCCCAAAATCAATTACCCACGGAAGAGCTTTTCCCTCGACTGCGAAAATGCGTCTTGCGTCGTGGGGGTGGAAAATCGACACCCCACACTCGGGCGGGCGGGCGTGGAAAAAAGCACGTCCCCAGAGATTGGGTGTCTTCAGCCAGAGACTTTAACATTTTATATCATCCTCGTTTTCTCCCATTTTCGTCTCCTGCTGAGGCAGAAAACATCACATTAAGTTTTCGCACGCACCATTGTTCCTCCGCTTTGGCCTTTATCGGGCAGCATGGAATTTATGCTGTGTCTCGGGCTGTGCAGCTTGTGGATTTCCTTATCAGTGTGCCTGAGTGCGGCAAGAACGGGCTATACATTTCTCAATTAACACATACTAAGTAGCAATTATACTTGGGATTTTGGGCACAAAATACGTATCGTTTAATTGTTCAACCCACCAGAAAAGCTCAATATGAGCCTTCCTTCACGATAAATATTGCTCATTTCTCCAGCAAAATTGAGAAGAGACCGCAATTTGTCTTTCCCAGCTTATTCTTTCACGAAACCTACTCATATCTCCTCGTCATGATGACTTGGCAAAAGGCGCTTTCTTTAGGACAATTCACAAGGAGGAACAATGACTCTCGAGATACATTTTAAAATGTTTCATATTTTCCCACAACAATTTTCCCACAATTCTTGACTTATGCAAGAGAACACAGAGAACTCCCACTGCCCATGTTAGGCGCCTGTCCCATATCGATGATTAAAAAACCAGTTGGAATGACACCAGAAAGCAAACAAAAGAAAATGAATATTTGAGCAACTTGTGAAATACTGAAATTGCAAAAAAGATTGTTTCTTTTACGCTTCAACAAATCATCCGAAAAGACATTGAATCTCATATTCCCCAAGATGTGTCTTGAGCCTTGTCTTGGGCGGAAGCTTCACACAATACCTAAAAATATTACATCGGTAAGCATGTTTTCGTGGGGCGGCTGCCGTTCCGGGTTTTCAGTCGGCCCACAACATGTGTAGGAATGATAAGAAGAGAGCAAAAATCTGGGCAATAAAAATCGATAACATTCCTCATCCCCATTTCCTCCCCTTCCCCCCATTCCCACTGAAGGGATAACCAGGGAAAGGTGAAAAATCCCTGTGGGGATATTACTTGCCAAATAAAACCCTGGAAATGTATGTAAATTCTACACTAAATGTAATGCCAATGAAGTTTTTTTGCCATAAACAAGTGGGCGGAGGCCATGATCTCAATTTTCTATTATTGCGGAGATTCTTTCCGAGTGTGAAATTTCATCCCGACGCGCGCAATAATGCTCAGCACCTCACAAGATATTCGCACTGAGAAGCCACAGACAAGCTGATTAGACAATAAAATCCCATAGTATATTAGATGGTTCAGCACAGAGATCATTTCTGTATTGATTTTAATATCAAATTTCTCTTTGGTTTTATAGTGCGTGGCAAAAATTCTCGGAAATCTCTGAGCGCGACATGAAAGGCAGTGTCATAATCAACAGACGGAGTTGCCTATGCAAAAAGTGTTATCAAGTTGGACACATTGAGTTCACTTGTCACTGCTGAAATTGAATGACTGAATCCGGCGCATTTCACACCGGCGACAAGATAGGCGAAGAGGATGGCAAAATTTGGGGATTTTCTATGCACACACCCCATATGAACAATGGTGGAGGCCTCAATTGTCCGGTGAGGGGATGATTTTAGAATGTCCAGCACATCCCTCATGCGCCTCAGAATCATCAGTCTTCCCGACATGATATTTTATTGTGTGCGTTGTGGCAAATGTGATGGAGGATTGACGATGAAAGATATATGAGAGTTATTTCCCATACAAATGAAATGTCTCACGGAGGAAATGAATAATGGTGGAATTGCTCTTTTCTCAACACTCCCTTCAGAGAGAGAGAGAGAGTGAAGCCCTCTGGCAATCGCGACCATCCCTCCATTTCACCGGTTTTGCACTAAGTAAAAAGTTTTATAGCATTTTTTGCCACTCATGAGCTCTCGAGCATGTTCAACATTGAAGATAGGGGTGTTTCGCTTCTTTTTTTTCCTATTCCGCGTGATGCGAATTCGACATCAGTTGTGAGAATTCGTGAGGAGTTTTTTATTTAAGTTTCACAGCCTCTCCCCTCACCCCCCTCCCCTCGTCGCCCATTGAGATGCTCGTCAGTGGCCAAGAAGTTCTTGCATGCAGTTGCGAGGGTTCTCTTGTTAGTGGTTGATGAGGGTGGACGTTTTTGTCTGTGTGCGTTTCGGGAAATCGATTACGGCATCATGAGAAGACTTTGGGACAAAATGCTCCATCATTCAGTCAAAGTGAGGCTTGTGAAATTTACGGAAATATTTCATATCTCCTTTGCTGCACTGCATGATAAAGTAATCTGCACTGCAATATTTCGCCGTGGCCCATATTTTCGCAGCAAACAATGACACTTAATGCCCTGCCAGCGCTGCCAACTATTCTGCACAATGCTGTTGGAATTTTGTGGGCCAAATGACAACGAGGAGTGAGAGTTCTAGGCATATATATATATATATATTTCAAAAATTCTCTTCATGCTCCCCAACAATTACCTTTTCATCGTCCTGTGGATGTGTTTTAATTAAATTCCGCCAAGGAAGACTCCTCGCTGTGTGTGAATGATTCAGTTAATCCCCAACACTGAGAATCTGCATAAGAATGGCAAATTCTTGAAGATGCGAAACTCGTTTGCGAATAGCAAATTTCTCGCCGCACACCGAAAAAAACCTGAACCATTAAACAAACATCGACTTTTCACACAATAATCACACCGCAGAGGGAGTCATAAGAAAGTGAAGGAAAAAAGATGCCGCGAACAGGTTAATTCTGGGAGGCCGATCACCTGAAGATTGTAGGTCTTGTCACAACACTCTGGCACTTCGGCACACTCTCAGGCAATCACTCTAATGTTCCTGGAGCGCTACGATGCGTCTTCCCCAGCACAGAATCCGTATCTGCTCTGTCTGCCGACTCGCGGAGGAGTGAGAGACCCAGTGCAGAATTCCGGACATGCGCTCAGCCACGATAGTTGCCTCCCGACTGAGATCATCCCGGCTGGCAGTTAGTTTGTCCAGCACATTCGCACTTTTCAGCGAAGCGTCGCGACGCCAAAACGCCGAGAATGCCAACACAATTATCTCATTTGAATGCCGGACAGCGGTTACAGCAGACGAATTAACGCACGATGCCAAAGGCTTTTGCATGCTCAGCAGATGAAAAGCACTATTGGAGCTCTCACACTCTTCATGCCACGGGAGTTGCCTAGCAACTGGCGGCACGGCGATGCCAACCGCACAGATTTTCATCACGCCCGCACTTTTCCATGCCCAAAGCGACGAAGAGCGAGGCAGACGCTTCGCGCGACACTGACGAAATCAAGTGCGAAAAGACATTGCGGGGGGCGGATAAGTAGTCAGTTTAACTGAACAGAGTTGAAATAATCTTTGTCAATTTGTTGTCTATTTGAGTTTGTGGTTTAGGAGGGAAAATTTGACAATGAAAGAATGTATGACCTTCAAAATGGGCGGGGCATTTAAATGGGCGGTGCTTCTGGAAAGTCAAATGAATAAAATTGATGGGATTCAGTTGATGGATTCAATTGGATAGTGGTTTATGAAAGCTCTCAAGTCAAGACTTAATTTCTTGCTTGATTTTCAGTTATATCTTGCCTATTATTTCAATTAATCTTCTAGAATCCTCCCATAAATATTTCACTGTGTTTCTGACACATCAGACTTGTTTCGTTCAGGGGAAAAAAACTCATTTTGATATGCCGAATCGATCGGTTGGGGCAGAGTTAAGTTGCCACACAGAGTATTCTAAATAACGAGAAGGAACCCCAACAATATAAGAAATCCACCATCAGATAAGGCAATGTTTATTTGACCAAGCGGCCCACTGAGTTAAGCTCTCTGCCTTTGACTCGTTATCAGATAATCCTCTGTATTCATAAGCCTGAAGAAATTGCTGAACCAACAGCCAAAGTGATCTAGAAAAAATATTTGTAGTTCCCTCACACCCAAGATATTATTCAAGAGCCTCATTAGCGCATACTTGTGAATTGCTTAATTGTGAGACTTGAGCTGGAAGCACAACTTTCTTGGCATCGACCTGCCAAAGTCTCTCAGCCTCTCGGCGTTGTGTTTTCAGTGTGAAGCCAAGGAGAGATAATCTGTCAGTTTATTGCTATAACCGAGAATTATTATGTGCAGAGAACATCATCCTAAATCAGCGTCAAGATGCCCAACGAACAAATTTGTGGGGCGTTTCACCTCTAAATATCCCATATAGGCTCGCAGGGTGTGCACGTGCGAATGGCACGCCGATCTTTTCCACCCCGGCGCACCATATTTTGTATTCATAGGCAATTTCGACGGCAAATAAAAGAATATTGCCGATGCACACCGCGTGTGTGTTGATGTGAGATGGAAATTCAAGACCCGCCACGCGGCCAGGATGCAATTTGGCAGGGCAATTTTCTCCTTCCCGCGCGAAAGTGTCTTCTCCACAACTCAATATCCTTTCTCTCCATATCAAATCCCATTCATCGATTCACTCTCGAAGCTTTCGGTAATTTCACTTTGAGAGACTTTTGACGATTGTTTCACGTGAGGTGGAAAAAACACACACACCTGGCGCTTGCGCTGCCAATCTCTTTAGCACAAGTATGCACTTGCCATAAATCACATTGTCACGCTGAGGGTGTGTTCAGGCATCTTCACTTGCTAAGGGGTGAATCACTCTCTCTCTAGCCACTGTATTGACTTTCCGGCAGCCAAATTGAAAGGGATCACAGCATGATGAAAAGTTTGAATCTATCGTCGAATTTACAGCTCAAAAATCCATTAAAGGATTGTGAATTCGTCACCATTCGCCATGAATTTGAAAAATTGAATTTGATGCAATTCCGCGAATTTTCACCAATTTCATATGTAACCAAAACTCGGTTACCATTCTGCATAACTGCACAATATTGTAAATTCGATAAACTCTCTGACGCTTTTTATAGAAAATCCATGTCGAAAAATGCACCGAATCTGCTCGTGAAAACTCACAACGCCACTCGGGCGCAGAATTAATTATTTTTGCCGGTCGAAAGGAGAGATATATACCACACCACTAAATTCCCCTCAGTTTTTTTTTGCATCTCAAAGTGCTCTCTCTAATTAATTTGTCACTCGGATACAAAACAGAAATCCATTTATCAGCAATACACAAAAGAGAGCTGAGTGTTGAGATACATGTGAAAAGTGGGTGATAAATGCTGAAAATAATTCCTTTAATCACATTAAACTGTGCAGGTTTTCTTGAGCGTGAGGGCAGGTTTTCCACCCTCTCTCGCTGACACACACCCATTGTATATTTTCACCATCAACACAAGACTGACATTCCCTAATCCCAGTCGAGAGAGACTCTCAGAGTGGCAGCGAAAAAGAGAAATTGAATTTCCGCTGTGCATAATTTGGCTAAAAGTCAAATTTTGCAGTTGCAGCCAGGAGAAAATAATCAAATATTTTTCTACCGTCGGAATAAAATGTGCAAATTTGCAATTTTCACCCGACACATGACACCCCCTGACGTGGATAAATATTGCTCCCTCGTGCAAAAATTTAATTTTCCACCGTCTGTTTAACCCGCTGAGTTTTTTTTGGGATTAAAGGTGGAATTATAAATTTTTCCTGTGGGTGGATTTATGGTTAGAATTTTAGCAGAAATCACCGAAATTCACCCTTATGAAATTCCTGGAAAAAAGAATATTTGATTCTACTTTCAACTGTGTCTGATGTGGGGAAGTTGAGAAGTTTTTTTTTCTCAGTGGAATGTGCTTAAAAGCATACAAATGAGAAATTAAAAACTCTTAATTATAATTCACTGCGATGCGAATAACTGAGAACGCACAAGGAATAATCAGGAAAAGCCCACCCGAAAGAGTTGTTTAACCAAAGGCTAATGGTCAAGGTCGACGAGGGGGGCAGATTTCACCCCTTTGAACACTCCCGAGTGTCTTCGAATTATGCAAATGAGACAATATCTGATTACGCAGTTGTTGATTTATTTTTATCTAAATTTATTCTTCCTCAACTTTGGCAAATCTCTGGAGGACGAGGGGCGTCTGCATTAACATAATAATATGAATTTTCCATGAATATTTTCCCCCGAGAGCACAAACTAACCATAACGAGTTTATGGTGGAAATCCATCATGATGTATTAGGACTGGAAGGCGAAAATAAAATGAGTGATTCGTCTTCTTTTGCCGCGCCACAACTTCGTTAAACATTGAGTTACAATCAGCCAAATAGCCGGCAGCAGTGCTCTTATTATCCATCACAAGACTCTATAAATTTACTTAATGCCTCCGCCATAGCCACGGAATTAGGTTAAGAATGCCCCCGAGTCAAATATTCATGGTCATATGGATAGGGATATTAAAGCTCCTTCTCAATATTCTTCGACGTCCGGGAAGAATTCCTCACGATACTTATTAATTCATCGATATTGTGTGGCTTTGGGAGACTCCCAGGGGAATTTAATAATAATCTTTCCGATCGCCTAAGGTTTATGAAAACCCAATGAAAACTCATGACATGGCAAAGGTTTTCACCGGGCAAAATAGCTGCGTTTTTTTCTCATCCGCAGAAAAAAGTCCCCTCAACGTTTCGCTAGTAAAATGTTTTATGTGAGGGAGGAAATTATGCTAAAATAGTAAAAAATGGCACTTTGGAGCCTGAGTAAAAAGCTCTCCCAACGCAAAAGTTGAAAGTATGTAAAGGGGAAATTTATGTGAGAGTTTCAACTTCACCTCCTGTGTGAATTATATTGAAACTTTACCACTTTGCAGCACAGTTCTTTTCATCTAAAATACCCGCAATAAAACAGTTAAAATTATGTCGGAAAAATACAGTTTCTTCGTACACACACAAAACATCTTAAAACCTATTGCGAAAAAGCTTCAGAAGGAGCTTTCTATTAATATGCTCGAGATGAAGCGGAAACTTTCGGCATTTTATGCCTCCCCCTTTGGGCAATTGATTTCTAATTTATGGGACTTTTGCGGCGAAGAAAAGGCCCATGGACGCGTCCATGGGAAGAGTGGCGAGAAAATTGGGATAAAGTTGCTCCGTGAATCCAATCAAGTTTGATTAGAGACGAGAAAATTAAGAGGAAGCTCAGGTGTGAGATATTGCAGATAATAAATACTCGATACATCTCCATAAGGCGTCTATAAATTGATGAACTTAATTGGATCTGTTCAGTAGTTTCGTGCTTTTATCGATTCTCTCGTCACTTTAGTCACACCTGAGGAGTAAACATAATACTTGAACATAGCGGAGGAAAATTGGGAATATTCTTAAAGCCACATTGTTCGTGTGGGGAAAATGTCCATTTATCTCTATTAGCCGCAGTATGAAATCCAATTTCATATAGGATTGGGTTTATTGGAAAAATTTGCATTTGGCTGTGCAATAATTCTACCTTAATTGTAAGTCAATAAAATGTATTGTGGCTTTGGCAACAAATATTGCAATTAACCTGAATGAATCCGCAATGCTCGCGAGTGTCTGATCAGCGTCCGAACGCCAATATTTGCCACACCGCATATCGAGTGTTGTTTTAAAGCCTTTGAAAAACCCGTCAATATCGCCCTGATAATGTTGCAGAATTGATTTGCGGGGTGGCGCACACCCAAAGGGCTCCTAATTAGCGACCCCATTTATTATTAATTCCCATAAATGACTGCTTCAATAAATAATTGAGTGCATCTGTCCCATTGATTTTCAATCACGTCCCTCGGTGAATTTTTCTGCACAGCGGCGAGCATTTTCAATTATCTGTCTGGTCATGTGTGTTGTAAAAATTCTGTCCCCAACGTTCGTGAGTCCCTTTTGTGCACGTTACGTGGCGGAAAATGTATTCAGGATGGGTTTCTAATCAGTTTTTTATTGTTTCCCCTCCGAATACCCAGACAAATGGTCATGAATTGCTGAAGAATGGTGGGAAATTTCGACAAAAGTTCACGTATATGTAGTTTTATTTTTCACTCTCGGGTAAAAGCTCAATGGCGAACTACATTTGGGTACAGCTGTAAATAACGCAAATATGATTTTTATGTTCCGCCCTTCGCCCCCGCCCACAATGTTTACGCCGCTGTGTCTGAATAAGTTGCAAATATTTTATATGCTGGGTCATTCATTCGCTGTGTGCGCTGAGGATCACCATCTGAGCTTCCACAGTGACACCCTTAGA